AACCAGCTTTGTACAAAGGTGTGTATTCCCCACCAAAGAAATCCATTCACCTGTCTTCCCAGTCTCATTTCCTTCCCCTCCCCTCTTTATCCCCCATCCCAAGACTTTTTGTTACTGAGTTGGTTTTCTTGCTGGTTTGAGGTTAGGGAAGGCTTGGCGGATAGAGTTCAGCAAGTGGGCACTGAAATCTGCCAGGGAAGAAAGTAACTCCTGTCATGCCCTCCTGCAGAGCACCGCAACATGCCCCAGGCGGACGCCATGGTGCTGGTGGCCAGGAATTACGAGCGCTACAAGAACGAGTGCCGGGAAAAGGAGCGCGAGGAGATCGCCAGGCAGGCCGCCAAGATGGCCAGTGAGGCCATTCTGCAGGAAAGAGAGCGGGGAGGCCCCGACGAAGGCGTGCGCGGGGGCCATCCTCCAGCCATTCAAAGCCTCATCAACCTGCTGGCAGACAACAGGTACCTCACCGCCGAGGAGACTGACAAGATCATCAACTACCTGCGAGAGAGGAAGGAGCGGCTTATGAGGAGCAGCACCGACTCTCTCCCTGGTGAGCTACGTGGCAGGGCCGAGGTGAAGTTCTGACTCTGCATTTCTCTAATTCCCAGGCTCTGTTGGGAGGGTGGGAGGGCCGGGGCTCTTTGGGGTGGGTAAGGGAAATGAGCCCACCCCTTGTGTTCGTCCATGGGCCTTTATACTGATATAATGATGACTTAAGTTTGGGGCACAGAATTCTGATCTCTTTAGTTCAGTGGTTCTCAACCTTCCTAATGCCCGTGACCCTTTAATACAGTTCCTCGTGTTGTGGTAACCCCCAACCATAAAATTATTTTCGTTGCTACTTTATAACTGTAATTTTGCTACTCTTATGAATCACCATTGGAAATATGTGTTTTCCGATGGTCTTAGGCGACCCCTGTGAAAGGGTTGTTGCGACCCACAGGTTGAGAACCGCTGCTTTAGTTAATCTAGCGATGGGCAGACTAGTATTGCTAACTCCCTGATAACCGAGGTGAATGCCCTTTTATCTTTAATTAGTTTTCCGGGGGTACTAGGCTGTCTTCTGGAGACAGCTCATGCCATGGAGTGGTCCCTTTGGGAAATTGATGTTAAAGTCTGTGTACTGTGTAATTGATGTGATCAATGACTGTTGTTCTTCCCTGGACTGCTAAGCCTCCTGCCCAAGGAGGGTACTTTCAACCAGATACCTCCTCCTCCTGTCTTGCAGGCCCGATTTCCCGTCAACCACTCGGGGCGACCTCGGGTGCCTCGCTGAAGACACAGCCAAGCTCCCAACAGCTCCAGAGCGGCCAAGTGCTCCCCTCTGCTACATCAACTCCAGCTGCACCCCCCACCTCCCAGCAGGAGCTTCAGGCCAAAATCCTCAGCCTCTTCAATAGTGGCACGGTTGTGGCCCATAGCTCCGCATCTCCCTCTGTCGCTCCCGGAAATACCCAGAACCAGAATTTTTCCACAGCAGTGAACAGCCAGCCTCAGCAAAGATCACAGGCCTCTGGCAATCAGCCTCCAAACATTTTGGGACAGGCAGGATCTGCTCGGAACATGGGCCCCAGGCCTGGGGCTCCTTCCCAAGGGCTCTTTGGCCAGCCTTCCAGTCGCCTGGCACCTGCCAGTAACATAGCTAGCCAGAGGCCCGTGTCTTCCACAGGTATCAACTTTGACAATCCAAGTGTACAGAAGGCTCTGGACACCCTGATCCAGAGTGGCCCTGCTCTCTCCCACCTGGTTAGCCAAACCACAGCACAGGTGGGGCGGCCCCAGGCGCCCATGGGATCTTACCAGAGGCATTACTGAGGCTCCATCTCAACTACTCCCTGCCCCCTCATCCCTGGCCGCCTCCCACCTATTGCGTTCTAAATAGTTATTTGGAGGATGTTCTCTGCACCTATCCAGGTCACATCAAGTGTCATAAGTTTCTACCACCTGCTCTCTTCTGCCCGAGGCTGTGTTGCTTATTCCTTCCAGAGTCAGAGTTTATATTGCATTTGGGGGTGTGTCTTTCTTTGTTGTTTTTTGTTTTTTGTAGAAAATAAATATTTCTGGGGTCACTTGGGTGGCAGTATAGATGTCTGGGCTCAGTTTATATTTTGTGGGTTTCAAACATGGGTTTCTCTGGGCTCTTTGTCAGCTGGATTTGGGGGGCGGGGTGGAGGAGAAAAAGCCAAACTCCAATTGGCTGAGTTTGGAACGGCATTTTCATGTCAGTAGCCACTGCCTTTGTTTATTTTCCAGCCTCACAGGCCAAGCAGAGCTCCAGCTCCTGCCCAGAATTGCACAGCAGACTGGGCTTGGCAGGCATGGTGTCATTGTGCCGCACCCCCATGTCGAGGGGTCCGCTTTCAGATTGATAATTCAGCTACTCTGGAGTTTGGGAATGTCCGTGGCAGCCACACAGCAGACATTTTTCTGCCTGACCCAGTAATGTTGGTTTTGGATTTTCTCATTTTTCTCTTCTTTTGCTTTCATTTCATTGGAGGCTTTCCCATGGACTGAACAGTTCCAGTCACCGGCAGTTTAACACGAACTGTGAATCTGGGCCCCCAACCATTTTCAATACCACCACCACCTCCCCCCTTAACATTTCTGTCAGCCTCCTCCACTGGCAGTGTGATGGAGTCAGTTCTGAGAAGGCAGCTCTAGACTCTGGCATTGAACACCCATTTTTCAGTGATTGTTTTGAGTTTTGGGCTTAAAAATCAATCTCTCGTTTTCATCAGGACTCTTGTTCTGTTTCTGAGTAGCAGGAGGTAGGGACCATTTTGATGTCAGACTTTTGGTAGCTGGACATGTCCTTGATACAGGTGGCTGTTCATAACTTTTGAGCCAGAGTGAAATTACTGGAGGGAGGACTTACGGCTGCTGCTCTAAATGGAGCCAAAGGAAGCTGCCCTCTCCTAGGGATGGTGCTCATTAGAGCCCTGTGGATCACAGTCCCAAGGGGCCGCTGGCAGAGACAAGGGACAGCCCTGACTTCAGCTGAGTCCCTGCCAGTGGCTAAGCGAACAATGGTTTCAAAAACTCAAGGTCCCCAGGTGGCAGCATTTTATGTTCTGACCTGTTTGTGTTATATAGTGTTTTTCCCTCTTTGGAATTTGTGTTGTTAATAAGATGAGATGATTACTTTTTAATTAAAATGAAAAAGGAAAAGCTCTGTCGTCTTTTTTGGGCGTGACTATCTGCAGGACCTTTTTTCGGGGCATTCCCCGGGGTTGGAAGATGAGGGGCCCTGACGGAGCGCTGACTAGTTCCAGTCTGCTGTGAGGCCTGCCCCCTCGTCAGCCTGTGCTCAGGCCCCGGAACCTTTAACCCTAGCTTCTCTTAGCTCACCTCGTTAGCAGCTTTAGGAACAGTTCAGAGCAGAAGCCTGCTGGCTAGTTACAATGCTGCGTTAAACATCCTTGTTTGTGGTAGACTCCGTGTGTCGGCAGGCTCGTCCTCTTCTTCTAGTAAACGAAAACAGCCCTATGAGGAGGCCATTTTTGGCCAGTGGAGTGGGGTGCTCTCCTGTTTTTATTTCATCTCAGTTGCCACCCTCTGTTCTGCCCATTATGCAGGGAGTTGACAGACCCATAGAGTTACAGAACCTGTGGAAGCCTTAGAGAGCATTTATAACAGCCAGCTCCATCAGCAAACTTGGGGTGGCTGTGGTGACGTGACTGGCACAAGGCCTCCAGTGGCTTAGGGACAAAAATGCAGGCAGCACAACCTGACGCGTGCGTGCTCCACCTCATAGGAGATGATGTTGGTAGTGCTCTGTCCACTAGCCCCTGCTGCCACTTGTTTTGTCCCTCTAGAACAGAGCCCCAGAACTGTCAGTATACTAACGAGGCAGCCGGACCTGGGGGGTGAAGGTCAGTGAAGGTCAGTGATTCTAATAGCAGTCTGGGGTACTCCTGGAGAGCCACGTTGAGTAAGCCTCTTCCCACCTACTAATTCTTCCCCCCCTTCTGTGTCCAAACAGCATACCTCAGGCTGTGAAGGGTATAATAAAATTATTTTTATTGCATTTTGTGCAGACGGGAGTCTAAAAAATTAATACAGTAAAAGCTGTAAAGCATTAAGTGGGAGCATTCAACAATAAAGGAAAGAACCAACCCTCTCCTTTCATATTGGCACAAAAAAAAACACAAGATCAATACTGAGGCAGAATGCGGAATACTGAAACACACTGAAAATTAAAGGCAGGCCTAATAATAGTAATAAATGCTCTTGATTTGGTTTGCAACCTCTCCTATTTACAAGGGGTTTCAACTTCATTGCATTGCCCTGCACGTAGATCGCCTAAAACAAAAGCAACACTAGTTTTCACTACAAGGCTATTGAAATATTGCACTCAGAATAAAAGTCACTTGGATGGACATGAAACATCTAGCTACAATGATTATAAAGATAATTTGATGAATGACATGATAACATTCATAACAAATATTGCACATGTAGCACAGAAAACTTGGGTTTTTGTTGTGGGATGTTTGATTTCATCAACGGAGACTGCTCTTGCCAACCAGACAGTCTGGGCCCAGATAGTGCAACTTTGGTTCCCTAATTGGCATTGATGCAGCCCCTCTCCCTTCTGCCCAGCCCACACTTCAGCCGGGATGCTCAGGCCCCCAGAAGGCTAGACCAGGTTGTGATTCTCAGAGGTCTTTTGGAGGAAGGGGGCAAGGAGGCTGGTGTCTAATATCTCTACCTTTCTGATTATTACCTGGAAGAGTATCCAGCCCCCTCATCAAATCTCAGATGGGCCTTGGCCTAACTGGCAGACGTCTAGACCTACCTCCAGTCACACCTCTGCCTACGACTCAAAGGAAAGGAGGTGGTGTGGTCAGGAATACCTAGTAGCCCCAGCTCTGGGAGGTGGGCAGCATGTGTAACTAGGTGTGAAGGTCAGGGCCCCGGGACTGGAGGTACTGAACCCAGGCAGTCCCAGAGGGCACTGGAAGGAGCATGCAGTGCCTGTCCCCCTTAGTAATGTGCCCTGGGGGAAGGGAACCTGGCCAATGCGCCTTCTCTAGGAATTAGAGGGCACCTCTGACCGGACTGGTGGGGCAGAAGCGCCAAGGACTGGAGTTGGAGGAGCCAAAGGCCTTGGATCCTAGTGGGAGGAGGGCAGAGAGACGCTAAGAACCCAGCACATGGCGATTCCAGCCCTCCCCAGGCCCAGGTGCCTGGGAGACGCAGCTAGAGGCTGCTGCTAAACAGCGAGGGTCCTCCCTGGGACGCGGAGAAAGTGGCTGGGTCCCCGAGGCTGGAGCTGCCCAACGGGATTAGGGGAAGGAACATCAGGGGCAGTGCTGGGCCTCCTCCCTCACCAGTCCCAGAAAGGAAACTCCGGGTAGGGAACGCCCTCCAGCTCCCCGATTTCAGTCTTTGGCGAGGAGCCATGGGGTAGGGGGAGCAGCCGGCTGAGGAGAGGCGCCTACTCCCCCAGCGAAGGCACCGGCGCGGGCTTCCTGGGTAGGGCGAGTCCTCTCTCCCTTTCTCCCCCTGAGAAGCTGAGAAGCGCCACCGCACCCCCAGCCCTACCCCCGCGCGCCATCCTGCCCCCAGCTTGCATAAGAGCCCCGCGAGGCTGCGTGCATCTCTGCAGCCGCGGTGAAGCTCACACCCGCTGGGTGGCGAATCCAAGAAAAGCCAGACACTCGTCTCACCTCATCTCCGAAAAGAACTCGAGGGAAGGATGGGAAGCCGAGGGCGCACTGAACGGACGAGGAGGCGAGAGCGGGGCAGGAGTGTCGAGGGACCAGGACCAGGACCCCCGCCTGGGCCTAAAGCACTTCTGCTCTCAAACCCTGGCCGCCCAGGAAAACCCAGCCTCCCGAGCCTCCGCCGCCCTGGGTGCCCCGAGCAGGGGCTCGAAAGTGGCGCGAGAAGTCCGTTGCGCTTCTAGTCACGGAAATATGGGGACGTTAAAAATACACGCGATGTCTCCTGTACACTATGTATAGGCTCGGCCGGCCCACGCCCGAGGCTCCGAAAGGAGGGACCGTGGAGGAGGCCGAGCGCGGCCGCCCCACCCCGCGCCCGCCCGGAGTCAGGAGCGGTGCGGGCGGAGCGCGGAGCAGGACCGACCGGGGCGGGGCGTGGGAAGAGGAGAAGGGGCCAACCGGACTGTCTGGGGGTCCTCAAAGCCCCAGCTCCTCTCCGCACCTGCTCCCGACCTTTATTGCAGCGTCCCCTCCGGCGGGGAGAGGCCCGGCTTAGAAACAGGGCAGAGCAGCCGGAGCGACGGGGCAGCGCGCCAGCCAGGCTCCGTTCTCCACGTGGGAGCGGTCCCCTCCGAGCCAACCCCAACTGACGTGGCCTCCGGACTGCAGGCAGCGGGGGAAGGGGCCAGGGCGCGGGCGCAGGGTCTGTATGTAAACGGTGACAGCGGCGGGGTGCGCGCCGAGGGCTCCGGGGCCGCGGGCCGGGCGCGCTCGGGCCCGGGTGGCAGGTCCTGGCTCTCAGGAATAGATGGTGATGACCTCGCGGCCACCGCCGCGGACCAGCATCACCCGGTCCAGGTGCTCGGTGAGGACCTCGAGGAACTCCATGTCTGAGCGCCGGTCAAGGAAAAAGACCCGTCCCTTCTCTCCGGACGGCACTGGGGCGTGTTGGGCCGCCCGGGACCTCTGGACCCGCGGCCCTGTACGAGGTGCTGATCCTGAAGCAGGACCTGCTCAGGTGCTCCGTTTCAGAGCTAGGACCCAGGTTCCCTAACACCTCCCTCTTTCCCCCAAATTTTAAGTCCAGGATACAATTTTCATCACCGTTTCGGTTACGGGGAGGCCCAGGCATGTTGAGCAAAACAAGCTTGGCTTCCCGGGATTTCTTCACGATGACCTCGTTCAGCCTCACAGCCGTGTGCATGCGCCTCACGTTGGACTGGTTTCTGCAGAGGAAGGTGCGGGGAGGGCCCATGAGCCTGGAAGAGGGGCGGGTTGGATCCAACCGCACTGGGCTGCTGGGACCCAGTTCTCGCAAGACAGGGACCACCAAACCCAGACCTCTCCAAGCTGAGCTCTTCAGAGACCCCAGAGGTCAGGGGCATGAATTGAGGGTTCATGATACAGTGAGGAGAGCGGGGACTCTGGCCAACCCAGGAAAGAGAATAAAAAATTCTGAAGCACTTACAAGTTCTCCCACTCCCTTCAGGAAACACAAGAGAAGCAAAGAGGAAGAAAAGAGAGGGGTCAGAAAAAGGAGAAGAGGCTAGGGACTAGAGTCACCATCATCCACCTTGACCGCACACGGGTCCTGGTCTCCCAGTCTCCCAGCCTTCACCTTCCCACTGCCAGGAGTTCTGACCCTTAGCAATCAGGCCCGGCACCCAAGTCCTCAAATGGGAAACCAAGACAGGTGTGGGCTGGGTCTTCCAACTGCCAGCCCAGGACTCATTCTGCACGTTGGCTCTGCCGTGGCGTGCAAAGTCCCTGTACATTCACCCCAGACCCCAGCCCTGAGCCCCCAGACCCATACGGCTTCATGCTGAAGAAGTCCTTGATTCCCTCGGCGGAGACAGGACTGGGGCCCTTATTCTTCTCTGCCACAGACTTGTCCTTGGTCCAGGTGAGATGCACCTTCTCAGGATCTGCCTCCCCCTCCCCTTCAGGCTCCTCCCCCGGGGAGGGTGAGCTGCTGGGGCAGCTGGGAGCACTCTGGTCATGGATCAGCTGCACCTGAGGGATGAACAAAGGGACAGCACATGACTCCTTTGGAGGCCAAAGGTTCTGCTCCCACTGGCTGGAACCAAACTACCCCAGCTGCATACCTCCTCTTCTGGCTTCTCCTCACTGTCACCAGCCGTCTCTTCTGGGACATTGAGGCGGAGCCTAGTGTTGGCTGGATTCTTTCTCCGGATTGAGCCACGAGACTCATCTGTGATACTCTGGATCTAGAGAGTGACAAAGGTCGGTGCCAGCTCTGCTGAGTTACCACCCATGCCCTGCAAAGAGCTACCACCAGCGTTGATGTTCAGCCAGGACGCACACTTTTGGGAATTGGACCAGTGTTAAAATACCGCCTCTGTACCAAATAGCTATTGCCCCACTGACCTAGCCACTCAAACACCTCTCCAGAGCCCCTGACCTCCCCACCACCCAGCAGCTAAAGGGCTAACACCTGGCCCTGCAAGGGCTTTACCTCAGCACTATGGTCCGGTCAGCGCTGACTGGTCAGTGCACATGCACAATTTTCACTGTCACCCCTGGATAACATTCTCAGAGGCTCCATCCTTCCCAGCTCAAGGGGGTACCCATCACTTATTGCCCTGAGGATCTTTCAACCACTATCTGAGAAATATATTATCCACACTTGGGAGAACCATCAGTCATGGTCTGTCACTCTTACCTATAGAATCTGCCACCCATTCCCCAGGCAACCTGTCACCCCCTCTGAGGGCTTTCCTATCCCCGGCCCCTGGGTACCATCATTCACTCCTCAAGGATCCCGCACCCTGGAGTGGGACTTTCATCCAAACTCCAGTGGACTAGTGGTCCCACATTATCCCCACCTAGATCTTACACCCAGACCCTACAGGAGGTTTATCATCATTATCCCTGAGAACTCACCCACCACACTCTAAATATCCACCTGTTACCCATTCTCTGAAGGGCTATCACATGATTCCTTGTCCTCCACACTGGCAGCCTGTCCATCATCCACACATAATTAGGATCCGCTCTTCTCCCTTGGGCCCCAGAAGTCACACACAGAGGGCAAGTCTATCACCCATGCCACAGCCTCTCTGCATCCTGGCCAAAAGGCTGGGTAGGTGCAGCTGCAGTGTGTAACCCCACTGCTGGGGAGCCCAGTGACAAGGAAAAGGGTGATGAGTAATGCAGTAGGTGAAGTGTGCCAGCCCTGAGCCATCCCCAACCTGTGCAGGCCCAGAGCTGGCAGCAGCTTAAGGCTCCGAGAGCCCAGCCAGGGCAACCTCACCTCCCGTTCCCGCTCGTTCTTGGTTAAGTGCATCTGTTTGAGGATCTGGGAACGCTGCTCCATCACCAAAGTCTTCTCATAGGTGTAAGCTGAGATGTCGCTCTCATGCTGTGGGCAGGCAGGGTGGGGACGGGGTGGGGGCGCGAGGGAGGAAAGGGGAACCGTGAGCTCACACGCAAGGCCAAGGGAAGAGAGGCAGGCCCCCTTCCTTCTGCCAGCCTAGGGCTTCCCCACCCAATGACCTAGTTTCATGGACAGTTGTGGGAAGCAACAATGATGCTCTTTGAAGGCAAACAGATCCCTCCCTCCTCAGTCCAGCCCAGGACCAGTCAGTCACGTGAACTGGTGAATGAATGAATGAGTAGTTTAATTAATTACCAAGTTGAATGGAAAGGCAGAAGAAATAAAAAAAGGAACAAAGGGATGAATGAATACATACATGAATGAATGGATGGGTGAGTGAGTGAATGAATACATTAATGAATATATGGGTAGATTAATGATTACACAGAGAATGGGTTGATGGATAAATAAACCGAGGAGAATGGATGGATGAGAGGCTGTATAGTGTGATCCTAGAGCCAGTATGCCTGGGTTTGAATCCTGGCTCTGCTACTTAGTGAGCATTGTTGGGCAGATTACTTTCTGGGCCTCAACTCCCTCATCTGTAAAATGAAAATGCTGATGATTGTATCTATTTCATTGGTTGCTATGAGAACCAATACATGTAAAGTACATAGAACAGTGCCTCACATATCATGAGCACTATTAGACATGGCTATTCTTACAAAGAGAAGGATGGATGGATGGATGGATGGATGGACGGACGGGCAGACTCAGGTGAATATGTGAGAGGTTAAGAAGTGGATGGGGGCCCTGGCCGGTTTGGCTCAGCGGTTAGAGCATCGGCCTGCGGTCTAGAGAGACCCGGGTTCGGTTCCCGCTAAGGGCATGTACCTCGGTTGCAGTTTGTCCCCGGCCCTGGTTGGTCGTGTGGGTGGCAGCCACTCGATGTGTCCCTTTCACATCGATGTTTCTCTCTCTCTCTCTCTCTCTCTCTCTCTCTCTCTCTCTCTCTCTCTCTCATCCTCTCTCTCCCTCCCACTCTATCTGAACAAAAAATGGAAAAATGTCCTCGGGTGAGGATTAAAAAAAAAAGAAGTGGATGGGGGAAGGGATCCAGCATCATATGCTGATGGTTGTTGGGATCGCCCTGACTGGGGCTGGGACCAAGAGGAAAGAGGGCTGGGTGGGTGGGACTCCAAAACGTCAGGGGTGACTCCTGGACACTCACCATCTCCACCACCTCGACCTCCGCGGTGATACGTAAATGGTACAGAAATGTGGTCAGGTCCTTCTTCATCTGGATGCTATTGTCGTCCATCTGGGCCACAGTGAAGATGCGCATCTTGCACTTCCGCCAGACCTGGAGGGGGAAAGGGACCCAGAAAGGTCCAGCCCAGATGTAGTGAGGAGGCCCCGGGCAGGAACCTAGAGAGGACCCTGTCCCTCACCCTTCCCACCCGCCTTGCCACACATACATGCAGACCCGAATCCTCTCTCTCAGCGGCCACTCCCTACAAAAACTCCCCTGCTTAGGTGAGGGTCCCCCATTAAAGTATCACTTGCTTGGGTTAAGCATTGCTCTCCTTTACAATGCAAGGACACCTGCAAGGGAGACACAGTCAGTTCCTAACATCTCAGAACGAAGGAGGTGATCACATCCCTTTCCCAGGAGCTCACACAGAGGCTGGCCCTGGCCAGAGCCCGCGAGCCTCGCCCACGGAGGTGTGCGGGTGCACACGCACATGCGCGCGCGCACGCTCACCTTGTGGTGCCGCAGCAGGAAGGGCAGCAGCATAAGCATGCCTCCGTCGTGCACAATCCACCAGACGTCGATGCTGCCCTCGGAGAAGCGCTCGGGGTTCCCGGGAAACATGGAGACGTTCTTGGTGACCAGCAAGGCCAGGTGACCAGCCGTGGTTTCCCGGACCAGCTCTGGGGGAGGCCAGATGGGAAAACAGTGACCCTGTCTCCTCCTGCACCTGGCAGCAGCCACAAGGGCTCCCAGCACCCGCCTCACCCCTGCTTGCCTTGGCCTGGGGCTGAGTCGTCAGAAGACCGGCAACTACCTGGACCTCATCACTTACTTGCTGTTTGGATTTGGGAAAGCCTCTCACTCTGTCTGGGCCTCAGTTTCCCCACCTGCCCTTTCTGATTATTAAGAACTCAACCATGCATGGCCTCATTTAATCCTTCCAACTACTTTGTAGCTATGATCTACCTTCTAAGGAGACAGAGTAGCCCGGAGTTAACAAGGCAGCCTCTTGATTTATCAGCTGTGTGACCTGGAGCAAACTCCGTAATCCCTCTGTGCCTCAGTTTCACACCCATAAAATGGAGATAGCAATGCCTAGCCCTCGCAGGACTGCTGAGAGAACTGGAGACTCAGAGAGAGCCTCAACTTGTCTGGCACACCAGTCTCTACCCGTCCATCATTATATTACTATTACCAAGGACTCTGATGCTCAGAGAGGGTGAGTCACTTGTGAACAATCACACAGCTAGGAAGGACCAGAGGTGAGATTTAGAACGGGCCTCTGTGGCTTCAAAGCTGTAGCTCTTACCACCGCCCTGCACTGTCTTCCTCCCGGGGCTGTAAGCCCTGCAGGAGTCAAGACTGTCTCCTTCACACCTGAGTCCCCAGCACCTAGCACAATACCTGGCACAGTGCCGACTTTGAACTCTGTCACCTGCATGTGCAGAGCCCACAACTGTCATGCCTGGGAGACGACCCCAGGCCCAAAGGAGAGAGAACCCCCAGCCTCCCGCCCAGCCCACCACTGCCCCCGGCCCACCCAGCGTTACCAATGAAGTTCCTCCACGTCTGATGATCTTCCTTCTGCCGCCAGTTGCGGGGCCAGCCAACGAGCACCGTGTTGTGCTGCAGCCCCCCGAGGCCCCCAGACTGAATCAGATGGGACACGCCATCCCGCAGGTTGGAGGAAATCACTACCTGGCAGAAGCCTTTCACTTTCTCTGCCTCCATCAGACGCCGGATGGACTGGGGGGTGGGGAGGGGACATCAGATGAGGCCCAGCCTCAGGCCGCTCCAGCCCTGCCCTGCTCCTTGCAGCCTCCCTTCCTCCATGGTCCTGATCTTCCTACAGTTCAGCTCTGCGCATGTCAGGCTGGGGCACCAGGACTGTGCATGGCTCCCATCACCCACGGCCCCCATTCCTTGTTGAACAATCAAAGCTTTTCATGACGGAGCGCCACACCTCCCACCACCTGCCTGCTCATACAGTCCCCTGCAAGCTCTCCACTACCACCCAGACCCCTCCCCCAGTCAAACGTCACTTTCTTCAGATACTGCCCCCCACCCCGCCCAAAGTCAAACTAGTCTCCTCTGCATGGCCAATGTGTTTAACAATTTTTAAAAGTTAACATAGTGATGTGTGTTTTAAATGCACATTCATCCCCGGCCAGTTTGGCTCAGTGGTAGAGCATCGGCCCACGGACCAATGAGTCTCTGGTTCGATTCCAGCCAAGGGCTTGCACCTCGGTTGCGGTTCCTTCCCGGCCCTGGTTGGGGTGGTTCGGGAGACAACCAGTGGATGTGTCCCTCTCACATCGATGTTTCTCTCTCTCTCCCTCTCTCCCTCCCACTCTATCTGAAGATAAAGAGAAAAATATCCTGGGGTGAGGATTTTTTAAAAAAGCACATTCAACCTGTACTGTGAGGAAAGTGTTATTCCTCTCACTTGACAGATGAGGAAATTGAGGCTTAGAGGAAGTAAGACTTGCTTAAGGGAGCACAGCTAACAGATGCTATAGCTGGGGTTCAACTCCAGGTGTCTGACCCCATCCCCCACATTCTTAACCACTACCTTGATGGCAAACAGAGGGTCTTCAATTGCTACCTCTGCCACCTCCTGCTGTGTGACCTTAGGCAAATCACCTAACCTTTGTGAGCCTCAGTTTTCTCGTCTGTCAAATGGGGATCGTGACAGCTACCTCATTTAGGAATAAGGATGACACGACACGATGTGGGTGTACTGCCTGGCAGGCTGTGAACACTCAGCATTTTCTGTTACTCTTGTAATTGACTCTAGCAAAGCACCTATCAGCGTCAGGCGGGTTGGGGGCCTCCTGTGAATGTCCATCTTCCCCGCCAGCCTGTGACCACCTTGAGGGCTGGGGTTTGGTCTCACACGTTCCCATCTGCCCCGTGCCTAGCCCGGGGCACAGCACATCCTCAGCCTCTGCACGCTGAATAGAGCTGACCAGTGGCAGCCTCCATCTCTGGGCCCTGACAGATTGGTGTGAACGGCCCAGTGAGGCAGAAACAGCAACTGTCACAAGCCATTAGGGGGGCCCCTCCCCAGCTCACCTCACCTCCCTGGGGCTCCCTTTGCTCTCTCCACAACTGGTCGCAGCCCGAGGGGAGAGGCCTGAATGGGAAACAGAACCCACGTCCTGGGCCACCCACCAGATTCCGACAGTGCCTCTCAAAGCCCCAGTCCACACTGGCTCTGTGCGCCGCTCTGTGGGCACAGACCACTAGGTGGGGACAGAGCCAGTAGCATGGAGCCAGGGACGCGGGTTCAAATCCTGACTGTGCTTCCAGCCAGCTTTGTGACTCAGCAAGTCGCTTTCCCCTCATGCAGCAGATTCCTCCTGTTCCGAATGTGGATCCTCACCCTGCTGACTCCGCTCCGCGAGGGGGCAGGAAGAATCCGTGCGTGTGAAAACACTTTGGAAGGCTTACCCTTGGCAGCAAGGAGTCTGGGGTAGGAGTCAAGCAGTTCTAATTTGAGTCTCTGTTTTCTGTCTAAGACCAGTGATCTGACTTTTCTAAGCCTCAGTTTCCTTATCCATAAAATTGGCCCTTCTGGCTCTGAGAGTCTTTGGTTCTGGTTTGGAGTCTAAGGAACTCACTCCCTGCGCCCTTAGACCCTTCTTCTAAGAAAGAGGACAGCAAAGTCTGAGCCCCCATTGATCCCAAAGGTGGAAGAAAGGAAAGCGTGAGGGACTGTCGTCTTGAGTGCCCTGCCTCCTCCCCCCGCCAGAGCCCCCACGCACCTCCTCTGCCCGCTGGGCCTGCAGATGGTTGTCCAGAAAGGTACCCTCCAGGACAGAGCCCACAATGGTCAGGCCTTTCCCCGCCTTGAGCTGGGAGGTCAGCGAGAGCAGCTGTGGGTGTACCACGTTCTGGTCTTGGTCCACACGCACCAACACCAGCAGCTGTGGCCTGAAGAGGGTGGAACGTCACGTGATCCCTCCGCCACCCACCCAGGCCCCACCCACCATACACACATACACTTATATGCCGTACACCAGTGAACCACTAACCATCTGTCCTCTACACCCCCAGCCACCTATGTCCCCACCACCCACCCCTCCACCTAAACATCCATCCATCCATCGCTTTAAATATCATCCCATCTAACCACCCCCCATACATCCATCTCTCCACTCACCTCACTCATCCCTAAATCCATTCAACCACCCACCTTGTTAATCCTCCAGTCATCCACTTGTATGCAAATTAACTTACCTACACATGCATTATTCACTTAATTACCCCATCAACCTACCACCATCCATTCACAAATCTATGCACCCAACCCACCCTCCCATATGTATGTGCGTACATATGTACATGTATATGTACACACACACACATGTACACACACACGCGCACACACACACATACATATATATGTAGCCACATACCCATCTATTTATCCATTCATTTCCTTGAGCCAGCTCGTCTATCCAACCACCCATCAATTTAATAGCATTCTCTAACCATCTGCTCTGGGCTAGGCCCTGTGCTAAGCATTTGAGAATTCGCAGACAAATAATGCAAAGGCCTGGTCTGTGGAAGCCCCAGTGTAGTAGACATAATCAAGGACACGCCAGTGACGTCCAAGGCGTAGCTCAGAGTGCCGGGCTCTGCTCTTGGCAGAGTGAACCTGAGAGAGGTGGGCGAGGGGTGGGGCTTGCAGAGCGGCGGGTTAGAGAGCACCTGGGGCTGAGGGGCGGGGTGAAGGCGCTGCCTCCGTGACCTCGGACACCCTCTCTGGTCCCCCTGGCTTCCACATCCACAAAATGGAGAGATTTCCAAAAAGCCCTGTATCTCTCAAAGTGGATGATTCTGCCTCTCCCGGAGCAAATGCTCCATGATGTTATGTTCATCTGTTCCTGTGTGTGCCTGCTCCACGGAACTGTGAGCTCACTGTGTCCCCGGAGATCAGAAGAGGGCTTGGCACATACCATGCATTCATACATTTTTAAAAAACAAATAATGGAATAAATGAATGGATGAATAGATAGTCAGGAGGCTGGCATGGGAGTAGGTTTTGGAGAACAAATGTCTGGAACTCCGCCCAGCCTCGGTGCTGTAGGTGGGAAGGTTTCAGACCAGCCCCGGGGGAGAGGGAGCTGGGGGAGAGGATGAGCCCACCACTCAGCAGAACGAAGCAGGGGAGGTAAGTCAGGGAGGCTCCATCCTCGCCCTCCTTGAGCCTTCTTCACACCTGTGCTCACACCACTCACCTCCAGTTCTTGGTGTGCGGGGGCCCTTCCTCCAAACGTAAGAGCGCATAGCGGGCAGCGCTGAGAGACAGGCCTCGGATCCCGTCGCCCCACTCCTTCTCTGCCCTGGGGGCCGGGAGGGACCATATGAGGGCAGAAAGCCAGGGGCGGCAGGGGGGCCAGTCCACACTGCAGTGCCGGTCCCCAGGGCAGCCATCTATCTCCGGCTCAGAAAGGACATGCATGTCGCTTCTGCCACCTCCCTTTCTGGAAGCTTCAGCCTCTCCGTCTACTCTCATGCCCTAGCTCCCAGTCCCACCCCATGCCACGCCTCCTCTACTCTACCCTGCTTCCTGCCTCACCCCCCCCCAGCCCTCAGCCACCCATCACCAGCACCCCATGCCCCTCCTCACCCCTCTGACCCCAGTCTCTCCCAGCCGTCCCTCCTCCCGCACTTACCCACGGTACTCGATATACTTGTAGATGAGCCCAGCAATGAGCATGGCCACCAGGGCATAGTACCAGGAGCAGATGAACATGAGGGCCAGGCAGAGGCTCATGCCCAGGAAGGAGAGCGTCCTAGACAATGAGAGGAGCCCTGGCCTCTGAGCCCTGGCAGGGCTACTGCTGGTACCAGGACCCGGAGACTAGGACCGGGTCTAGGGGAACTCATGCCATCATCCCCAAGAGCACCCCAGGGGCGCAGGAGCTTCCGAATGAATGAGCTGCCACAGACAGGGCATCACCCCACGCCCCACCCGACTCCTGAGTCACCGCTCCTCCCTGTCCCAGGGCCTCAGACGCTGCCAGACCGCCTTGCCAGATGGACTCTGAGGCAGGATCTCCCAGGAAGACTGTGCCCCCAGGAAGAGGCAACTGGCAAAGCAGGAGCACTGAGGTAGGAGTGAGGCAGCCTGGGCTCTCATCCAGATAAGCCCTGGCCTTGCTGAGGCCTGGGGCCAGGCCCTTCCCCTGTTTAAACCTCTGCTTCCTTCTGATAGAGCAAGCGTGATCATTCCTGCCCTGTCTCAGGCGTCAATTGTGAGGATGAAGGGCCTTAAAACAAAATAATCAGAAGCACCTCAGCCTGCACACAATGAGCATCTTCTGTGCACCAAGCACCATAATGCTCACAAGGGGTCTAGAAGGTGGGAACAGTTGTCATCCCATTTCACAGCTGGAGAAACTGAGGTTTCCTCATCCAGATGGTAAGCTGGTGAGCATTATGCACAGGGAGGGGTTATAGCTGAGACCATTTATGACTGTGTTATATTATTTTTTTATGTGTTTTTAATTATTTCAGAGAGAGGAAAGGAGAGGGAGATAGAAACATTGATGAGAAACATCACTTGGCTGCCTCGTGCACGCCCCCTACTGGGGGTTGAGCCCACAACCCTGGCATATGCCTTGACCAGGAATCGAACCGTGACCTCCTGGTGCATAGGACCGTGCTCAACCAAGTGAGCCACACCGACTGGGCTACGTTATATGATTATTTGTGATTATAGGAAAACTCTCTCTAGGACCTTTTACATGCTAGCTGGGCTACCAAAACCGGAGTTTGGAATCCTTAGACCAGGAGGGGATGTGCTAGGGTGAGGTGGGCCTCGAGGTGGAGGTGAGAGGAGGGCTCTGTGGGGGCGGCACCCACCAGTGGTAATATCGAAAGCGTGGCCTCCAGTTGGGCGTCCTCAGCAGCGTCTGGACCGCGCAGGCCAGGTTCACAAACATGTAACACATCAGGAAGAACCTGGAACAGAGAAAGGCCAGGAAAGGCAGATGCAAGGAGAGGCAGAAACAGAAAGAGAAACAGAAGGGAGAAAGGGGGAGAGAAATTGGGAAGGTGGCCCAATCGCATTCTGGTGCTTAGGCAGGGGCTCAAAGGCCAAATCCCTTACAACACACCCTGACGCATGTGGGGATAGATCCCTCTATCACAAAGGACAGGTGTCTAAGACAGAGGGGAACCTCTGGGGATGGTAAAGTGTCTGGGTGGGTCACCCAGGGTCACGGCTGCTGGATCCAGGGAGAGAGACCCCGGAGCTGCAGGAAAGGCAAGAGGCCAGCACGCACATGGAGAGGATGGGGGCGACCTCATCGAGAGATGCGATGAGGATGCCGATCTCGCAGATGCAGGCGGTCAGGAGCAAGGCCCACGTTGGCTCTCCATTGGCTTTGCCGTGGCCGAAGACCTGAGGACAGAGCAATCGTCATGGGAGCCTGAGACCGTAAGGACCTCCTGTGTCTCTTCCAGTCTTGAGGACCAGTGCAGCAGGGGCAGGATCCCCTAGCCAATGAGGAGGTAGGGAGAGGATGCTGGATTTCTCATCTGGTAGTGGTACCCAAGGGGTTACTGGGCTTTTGCTGTATCTCACCCACACTGACATTGGTACCCAGATGTAATGAAATTAAAATGCTCCCTTAAGGGGAAAAAAGGGAACAGATGGGAGAGGAACTACAGGAGGCCAGCAAGTGGCCATGACTATGTGCGCCACAAATATCTTTTTTAGCCTCATGGAGAGAGTTGCCCCCTACTTGCACTTTGGCTGCCTCCTTGAGTCCCTGCCACATCACTAGGCCAAAGGAGGGCCATTTATTTTTCCCCTAAGAGCAGACAACTCTGCCCAAAAAGATGGTATTGACCATGGGCCAAATCCCAAATAAGGCACACAGAGCGGAAGGAGCCCAAAAGGCAGGTCAAGGCTTACTGTGGACCTGGCTTACCCTGTAGTCTCTCTGGGCAGGGGCCTGGCTGCCATAGGGAGTGGACTGTTCTCCCCACACTGTGCCCCCCACTGACCTGCAGAAAGGGCACTATGCCATCCCGGGAGATGGCCTGCAGCAGGCGTGGGGCCCCGGTGAGGCTCTGCAGCCCAGCCCCACAGGTGGAGAAGAAGGATCCGATGACAATAACCCAAGGGGATGGCCAGGCCAGCGTGCCTACCACCAGGTTGCCATTCACAGCTTCACCAAACCTGGAATGAAGCAGCAAAGGGACAGGAGATGCTGGGTGAGAAATTCCACCTGGATTTCCAAGGCAGCTCTCCCTTCTGGACCAACTTCTGGACCCATGGTGCCCACCACAGAGCTGGGCTCTACAGGGGCAAAGGGAGAGAAAAGTCCCTAATGTCCTGGGCACTTTCTGCCTGCGTGACCTTGGGCAAGTCACTTAACCTCTCCTTGCCTCGCTTTCCTCTCCTGTAAGACAAGCATACTTATAAACCCGTCTCATGCAACAGGTGAGAGAATTAAAGGAGACGACACGTGTAAAATGCTCAGCACAGTGCCTGGGACATGGTAGTGACAGTGATTCCAATAAGGTCACTTGTGTTTCTTATGTGATCCTGGGCAATCTCTTAACCTGTTAAAACCTCAGTGTCTTCATCTGAAAAATGGGGGTTCTAGCCTCATCATTTGGTGATGGTAGGTGATGTGAGGATCGAAAGAAGCATTTTCCAACAATGGCATTGTCTAAAAAAATGGAAGCTGCTGCCTGAGCAGGTCGAGAGCCCTGTCCCTGAAGTGTGTGAGCAGAGCAGACGTGTGCTCAGACAGGCCGCTGGCTGAAGGACCTCAAGGATCAGGTGACGGGTTATACTGGTGACCTGCTGCATCCCTTGCACTCTTACGAGAGGTCTCCGAGTCAATACAATGAGATAAGTGGAGGTTCAGTTGCCCTAAAAGCGAATAGATGTAATACATGCAAATCATCCATTTGGCCAGGTCACTCCTCGGCTTAAAACCCTTTGGAGTTTCCCCCATTTTTTATAAACTAAAACTCCGGTGTCCTGGTACCACCAGGCCTCTAGCACTAGCTCCAGCCTGTCTCCAGCCTCGTGTCCCCCAGCCCCCACCTCACAGAAGTCAGGGTGGGAACAAAGAAACTGGCTTCTGGGATGGGGCCTCCTACTCGCCCTCCTTCAGAAGGGTGTGCTCCCGAGGCTCACTGCTCATAGCTCCAGGCGCCCGCGTGTGCAAACACACGCAGCTGTTTCTCTCCTCCACCTTTGCTCATGTGCTCCGACTGCCTGGAATGCCTCTCCCCCCAACCGGCTAAGTAATCTCTACTCGACATTTAAAGTGGGAAGGACAGATGAGAAAATGTGTTTAAGGCATTTCTAGCATTGCCTCCTCCTCCACGCCCTCTGAGGACCGGATCGAAGCCTCCATAGCCCGTGTGCTTTATTTTATCACCACCCCTACTGCTCTGCACCCCAAGTCTGTTGACAAGTACAGTTTCCATCCCCAAAGAGCTCCTTCGGGGCAAAAATCATGGGTTATTTATCTTTGTTACCCCCAGAACCCCAGACCGTGACCAACACATAGAAATCCAAGAAACATTACATGAATTAATAGATTTTAAAGAAAAAGAAAATGAAAGTGTCATCCTAAAGGAAGTGAGACGCTATCCAAGCTTCTTGAGCTGGAGTGACATGATAGAATGTAAGGAGCTGAGTTGGCAAGCAATTCCCCGTCACCTCCCTCCCACAAAGCCCCTCGCACGGGTTCAGCACTCCTGTTGGGTCTGTTTCCCAGGACGTGGGCCCCTATGCCCACCCCCCAAAACAGCATCAGCACTGATTCTCTTACTTACTTGTCCCGTAGGACGACCCCCTCAATGCAGGCCCCAAACAGAACAACAGAGCTGATGTCTGCAGCAGAGAATGAAGGAGAATGTCCTGCGTGGTGTTCCCCCTGCATCACCACCCCTCCCGAGGCAGCGGGTGAAGCAGCAGCTGCCCACTCTCTAGCCCTCACTGCCCATGTGCTCCCAGCCCAGCAGTACAGGATACAGACAGCAGAGGTGGTGGCAATGGCCAGGATGGTGCCAGTAGGAATTGACTTCTGGGCATCCCGCAGGTCCCCGGAGCGATTAGAACCAGCCATGATCCCTGTGAACAGAGCAGCTAGGACAGGAGCCACAGGAGACCAGACAGACTGGGGAGAGAAGACCCCAGCCTCGGAGTCAGGAAGCCTGGGATCTGGTCTTGGCATATGGATTTGCATGAGAACTTGGGTAGGATGCTTGGCTTTTCCTGGCCTTAATTCCCTTATCTGTCCAGTGGGACTTGAGTTGTTGGCTTCTGCTTATGTGATGGGGTTCTGGACTAAGAAATATCCCCGTGATATCACTGACTGTCTCCTACACATCCACTCCCAGGGACAGCCCTCCCTCTCTGAGCTCCCCTTCACCTGTGACTGAGGGGAAGTAGATGCCAACCAGCAGAGTGAAGTAGGAGGTCATATCACTGAAGACATAAGGATGGTCCATGTCGATAAGGGCACCCTCAGCCAGGCCCACCGAGGGCATCCCATGCTTCTCCACAATCACTCCTTTGGTCAGGTAGGTGCTCCAGAGGTTCTCTGTGGGAGAGACAGGATACTCAGGAAAGACCAGAAGTCAGAGTGCCGTAGCTCTGGGGCCAGGAGGTGGGGTGGGTGGAAAGGAGGCTTAGTGTCAACCACCTCTCAATCCCCATGAGCCTTGGCTCTGTTTTATTTCTACTGACGTTAACTAAGCTACTGCTTTGTTTGGGCCAGGCCACATGCAGGGGCTTTGCACACGAATCAGATTTGGTCCTTGCTCTTAAATAGCCCAGTCTACTGGGGCAAAAAGACACACCTATCTCAGACTGATTCAATATCCCACACTGATCTCATACCCACCCACCCCAAACCAGCTCCTTTCCTGGATCCCTTAGCTTGGTAAATGGCACTAGCGTCAGTGCAAGCACCATGGCATTGCCCTCAACTGCTCCCTCTCCCCATTTCCATTTCGAACCCATCTCCAGCTCCTGTCCACCACTCCTAAATATTTCTCAAATATATTTCTTCTCTCCTTTCCAGGGTTTCCCACTTTGGCACTATCAACACTTGGGGCCAGGTAATTCTTGGTTGTGGAGGGCATTGTAGGATGTTTAGCAACATCCTGGGCTCTACATGCTAGAGGCCAGTAATAAGCCTCCAGTTGTGACAACCACAACCATCTCCAGACGTTGCCACATGTCTCCTTGGTGGGCAGAACAGCCTTGGTGGAGAACCACTGCTCCATTGCATTGACGTCACTCCATCACTCTAGGTCAGAAAACCATCATCTCTCACCTGGACTGTGTAGCCTCCTGCTGGACTCCCTACTTCTGTTCTCTCTCCCATTTTAGCCCATCCACATTAGCAGTCAGAGTAAACCTTCAAAAATGACAAGCTGGCTATGTCCCTCACTCAGAACAATTTGGTGGCTCTTCATTGCCCTCAGGGTATAGTCCAAACTCAAACTCTTCAATATGGCTTCCAAGACCCACCACAGTCTGGCTCATACTGGCCTCTCCAGCATCATTCCTTGCCCCTCCTTTTTCACTTTGTGCCCCAGTCATTCCAAATTACTTGTGGTTGGAAGGACACAATCTGCTCTTCTGTGTCTGCATGCGTTTAAGCAAGCTGTTCTCTTGCCTGTGATTCCTTTATTTCCCTAATATCACTGAAAATCTCTTCTTTGTCCTTCAAAGCTGTCTCAGATGAGTCCAGAAAGCCTTGCCTCATCACCTTCTACACACAACCACTCCCTCTCCTGGGAGGTTTCTGTTCATTGAATGCACATCTATGCATATTTGCTGATATATCTGTGTCTGCCATTAGACTTCTTGAGGCCAAGGCCTGTGACTTATTTACATTGCATTCTTGGTGCTTAGCACAGTGCTAGGCACTTTGTAGGTGCTTGTTAAACTAATGGATTTCTTTTCTATTAGGTGATGAGATCATCAAAGGCCACCTTTCATCTCTACCCCTCCACAATCCCAAGAACAGAACATGGCCCAGAGTAGGTGATCAATTAAAACTGATTGAATTTAAATCCCAGATAGAGTCCCTTAATCCTAATTTTTTAACCTGCAACCCCTGCAGCATTCCCTAGACACCAGCCCTCTTCCCTCCCCCAGACCTTTGATGAGGCCACTGGCAGCGCCAGGAATGCCCTGGATCTCCGTGACATTGTTTCGGGTGAAGTACTCATCACAGGTAGCATTGAGAAAGCGAGAGGAACAGAAAAGGCCCCAGAGCTTTGTGGTCACTGTCTCATTTCCATCCCAAGCCAGCTTGGCACAGACATCAAAGCCGTGGCGAGACAGTGTGCGGTTCCCCAGGAGGCAGATCCTAGGGAGAGAAACAAGGGAGGAAGATGGGGGGGACATAACCCAGCTCTGGCTTCACAGTAGAACCGACAGGAGAGCTCTGAAAAACAGATGCCGGGGCCTCATATCCAGAGATTCTGATTTAATTGGGCTGGAGCCCAGAATTGGCGGTTTTGTTTGTTTGTTTGTTTGTTTGTTTGTTTGTTTGTTTGTTTGTTTGTTTTTCCAAAGACCCTCCAAGTGATTCTAGTATGCAGCCAGGGCCTAGGGCCGTGAACCACCACGTTAGTGCAATGTTATATTTCAGCACCGTGGACAGCAGTTTCTGCATTCCCCGCCCTTGTGGGCGGTGGGAGGTAGGGGAACCTGTCCTAGGGAAAGAGGCAGGACCAACAGAGATCGGAGCTCTTAAACCTTCTCTTCTGTGTCCTTTCCCATGGTAAAAAGGGTGTTTAAAACTATGTGACTGCCCCATTCCTGGAGGTTGTCACCACCCACAAAATGTTTCCCCAACACGATGTTTATCCTTCCAGAAATTATTCCACTTAGTTCTTCCTAAGTTCAACCCCACGAGCAAGCATTAGACCCTCACAAGAGAAACGGTGCCCACTTCCAGAAACATTATCCCATTCTAAATAGTCTGCCCCCAAACTAGGAGAGATTTTTCCCTCCCAAGGAGGTTGTCTAAGTCCACTGATTCTGAGGTGGGAACAAGGGGTTGGCAGAGAATGGTGCGCAGACCATGGAACTAGGCCAGGGGGGAGGAGGGCGATGCCTTAGGCTCAGAACAGCAGCACTTACGGGAAACTGGGTGGGTCAAAGGCAGATTTGATGACCCCAGCATAGATGGCCAGGATGGAGAGGATGACACAACCCAGGAAGACAAGGGCAAACTTGTTGACATACTTGACACCCACAAATACCACGGTGGCCATGCAGGTGAGCACACAGGTGCCATACACACGCATATTGTTCAGCATGGCTGAGGCCTCCCCGCTGGCATCTTCTGCCTTAAAGATGGCCATAGCTGGGAAGAGGTAAGCCTGTGGGAAAGGGGCAAGGAGGTCAGGCAAGTAACCGAGTAAGAATCAACTGGGAGTCACCCCAGAGAATAACCTGAAGTGCAGGCAGGGCTTTGGAGAAAAGATTCTGGTCACAGCAAATGTACAGTAGTGCAAGACTAGAAATGATATCCAATGATAGGGGAATGGTGAAGAAAATCATGGGCTAGCCCACAAGGACTATTACACAGTCATTAAAAATAATATTGCAAAGATGTTGAGAGCAATTTTCATTTCTATTATTTTTATCAAATATAATTCTTAATGATTATTTATAGGTTTCATTATTTCTGATAGAAAGGCAGAAACAAATTATTCATCATTAGAAGATTAGGCAAATAAATTATGATATTCCCATATAGACTATGGGGCTATTCCAAGAATAAATGGATTTATATGAGCTGACTCAAAAAGGTATCCATGTTATATTAGGTAAAAACAATCAAGTTTTTACTTTTTTTTTTTTTAATCCTCACCCGAGGACATTTTTGCATCTATCTTCAGATAGAGCAGGAGGAAGAGAGGAGGGAAGAGAGAGAGAGAAACATCGATGTGAGAGAGACACATTGACTGGTTGCCACCCACATGACTCCAATTGGGGCTGGGGATGAACTGCAACCAAGGTATGTGCCCTTAGCGGGAATCAAACCCGGGACTTTCTGGTCCATGGGCCAATGCTCCAACCGCTGAGCCAAACTGGCCAGGGCACAATCAAGTTTTTAAAAAATGTTTTTATGATCTCATTTTTGTAAATATACATGTATACTTATACGTAAACATATACACATATGCATAATAGTGTCTCTGTGTGTGTAGATACATCAAAATGTTAACAGTAGTTTTCCTTGAGTGGTGAAAATGTGGAGAGTATTTTTTTTGCACATCTGTATTTTCTATAATTTCTCTACTAAATATTAATGTGTTTGTAATCTTATAAAAGTTATTTGCATTTGCAAATTATATTTACAAAGAGAGTTTTGAGTTAGTTAGGAAAATCTACATAGTTATGCAAAGAGAGAACACATTATCACAAAGAAAAAACTAGAAAGAAATACACCCGAATATTAATGATTTTCTTTGGGCAATTGTTATTTCCTTTTTTGCATTCTTTGTTATTTTTCCAATTTTATGCAAGGGGCAGAATTGCTTTTATAATAATTTTCAAATTATTTAGCTTTGTAAAAGTCATAAAGGTCTAGTATTATTCTCTCACAATGTGGCTCCCCAGGTCTTTTATTCCCCACCCATTGTGCTCCTCCATTCTGCCCCCAGACCAGAAGCTGTGACATCTCTTAGTCCTAGTTTTCTAAGCAGTGTGGTAGAGTAAACAATCACTGGTTTGGGGGTCAGAAAGACACAGGTTCACACCCCTTCCACATGTTCATATCCTTTCCTACAGTCTCTGAGCCTTGCTTTCTTCATCTGTAAAACGGGGACATCTTCTAACTCGTGGGAGAGTCAGGGATAAAATAAAATGATACATTGCAGGCCACGGGGCCTGGATAAAGTAGGGGCTTGGGAAACGTCAGCCCCACTTTCTATAAACCCTCTTCAGCTCCCACCTCCTCCTGGAGGAGCAGGAAGAATGGAGACTGAAGTCAGTAACCATCTCCTTCAAACACTGCCCAGGGACTTGACTTCTCATCATCACTGCTCCTGACAGATCCCTTTACTCAGCTCCCTCATAGCCTTCTTCCATTTCGCAATCCGCTAGTCATTAGCCCTCTGTAATGGACATTCATAGAGGACTTAGCACAGTCCCTGGCATGTGGTCGGCAGCCACAAAATGGTCACTCTTGTGTGGCATGGTTATTATTTCTATCATGATTTTACTCTTATCCACCCACCTCTGCCACTTGGTAGCTGAGTGACCTTGAGCAAGTCATTTCATCTCTCTGAGCCTCTCATTTGTAAAATGGGCATAATAATACTTAAACTTCAGGAGGATTCAAGATAATGACTGTGAAGCGCTTGGAACTCTGCTGAGAGCACAGTGGGTGCCTGATGAACGGCAGCTGCTCATGTGACGTAATTACTGCATCTTGTCTCCCCAACTAGACGGAGACCTCTTTAAAGACACAACCACATCTGATTTGGCCTCATTGAGTGGCCTATGGGAGGCGTCCAGGGAGCACTGGTTAACTAACTGACAGCCTGGGGCCCCACACCTCCTCCTCGGCCCCTCTCACCAGCAGGATCTCGATGGTGCCCAGGATGTACATGGCCCCAGCAAAGGTAGTGCCCAGGTAGAAGCAGAGGCCCACGGCGCCCCCAAACTCTGGGCCCAGAGACCTGGAAATCATGTAGTAGGAGCCACCAGCTGCAGAAAAAACCTGGTATCAGCAATAGGTTCACGGGGCACTGGGCTGCCATTAAGGGGTGAGGGGGCTCAGGGACAGAGGCAGGAAGGGGATTACTCTGGGCTTCGTGGGCCTTACAGGTTGGAGACCCAGCGAGCTACTCTGAGTGGATTTGGCAGCACTAATTACCATGTTGCTAATTACCCCTCTAAAGATGTCATGGCTCAGAAAATAGGAGGTTGGAGAAGAGGGTCTCAGATAAAGGGAGAGCTTGCATTGCCCTGTCCAACACCATCAATCACCTCCCTCGCTTCCCCTTAATAGAACTGTCCCAGCCTAACCCACAAGCATCATAGCCCAGCCCCCAGTTCTGCAGTATGGCCTCAGGGCACTATCCCTCCTTCCAACTACCCAGGCCCCCCACCCAACCACTCAGGCCTCTTCCCCTCTGAGAAGCCCCAGTCACATACCGGGTACAACACCATTAGTTGCAATTGCACTCATGGAGATGGCGGTGAGCATCGTCTGCGAGAAGAGAGAGCATCAGAGTGGCAGCTGAAGTGGGGGCCACAGAGGCCTGGGTGGGAGCCAAATACCCGCCAAACCCACAGATCCCCTTCCACTGAGCTTCTCCCTGGTCCCCCTCCAACTTCTGCTCCCGCCAAGTCCTTCTTGTCACGGAAAGCTCGGATTCACCATTCAATGGACCTAGTACAAGCTATAGCATCAGAGAGCTCTGGAGATCCCAGCCTGGCCTCTGACCAGCTGTCTGACCTGAGACAAGTCATTTTGCTCTCTAAGCCTCAGTTTCTTCACCTACAAAACAGGGGACTAGCTTCAGCACTGTCTGCCTCACATGCAGAGGTGGCTGGAGGGTCACGTGTGAAGAAGCGGCAATGTGACGAGAAGTAGGTGTCTAGTGAATATTGGATGTTTTAGAGAAGATAGGAAGACTTCTCTTACAACGCTGTTTGTGACACCTAATCCCATTTTTTCTGAGTCTGAACCTACCAAAATGCTAACTCCTGTGTGACTGTAGGTGAATGTTCTTTCTCTCTGCACACCTATCTTTTTCATCAATGAATCTGCATTACTTGTGTAATTACACACATACACACACAATGCACATCCAGGTGAAACCTGGTTAAGAGCCATCAGGGACCAGCCTGGGAGAGGCAGGAAGGACCAGTCAGACCTAATTTACTCTCAAAGATCATATGCAGTGGTTCCTATAAAAAGCTCAGGTCTCATGCTTCCCCCCTCCCTCTCCCATCCCCAGGTCCCTGCCCAGCCCAGCTGTCGGTGGGAGAAGGGAGGGTGTCACTCACACAGGAGCAGCAGATGAAGACCATACAAAAGGACTCCATGATGCCTGCGATGCCCACGACCCAAGTGAGTCGCAGAAAGAGGATGACACCAAAGATGTTCTGCAGGCACGGTAAGTACACGCCCATGAAGGTGCCCATTCGTGGTGCCTGTCAGAGAGGCCAGTGTCAGTTTCTGTAGCCCCTAATCACTACCAAAACCCCAGGCTCACTCCTCCCTTTTTCCTTTATCCTTCACTTTCTTTTTTTTTTTTTTATCCTCACTCGAGGACATTTATCCATTTTTTGTTCGGATGGAGTGGGAGAGGGAGAGAGAAACATCGACGTGAAAGAGACACATCGAGTGGCTGCCACCCGCATGACCCAACCAGGGCCAGATACAAACCGCAACCGAGGTACGTGCCCTTAGCAGGAACCGCACCCGGGTCTCTCTGGACCGCAGGCCAGGCAGGCGCTCTAACCGCTGAGCCAAACAGGCCAGGACCATCCCCCACTTTCTTATTCTCTCCATCCCTATGTCTTCATCCCTCTTTGCTCTGATTCTTATCCCTGCCCTTCCCCCATCTTCCAGCCTTCATGCCTGCATCACCCCTCCTTCAAACCAACCCCTCCTTCCTCCCTTCCATCTCTCTTCCTCATCTCCCACCTCTTCCCCTCCCTCTCTGCCCCCAACTCATATCCCTTCATCTGAATCTATTTTCCCTCTCCAATCTTTTCTCCCCTCCATCGGGGCGTCCTCCCTCATCCCTTCTTCCCCAAGGCCTTCACCTGCACTGGCTTCTTTTTTCCACCCTCATTGTTTTCTGCCTCTTCATGCTCCCTGCTTCCCTGGGGCAGGTTGGTGTAGTTGGCCAGGCCACTGAGCAGGGAAGACACCATGGGGCTGGTGTCCATCTCCTCCTGTGGAGGGAGGGTCGCAGTATTAGGATGCTGGGGGCTAGAGGAAGGGAGGGGAGGCTAAATGGTAGGAGGCAGAGAGGTTCGAGGATAAGGAAGGCACCCCTTTGAGACTGGGTGAGATGGGAAAGGAGGCGGAATAGGCAAGGAGAACAGGGAAAGAGGAGGGTAAGATGGGGAGAGAGGGCAGCAGGGGAAAGGGAAGGAGAAGGAGGTGGGGGAGGCTCAAGAGGAAGGTGGGTGGGCTGGATGGAGAGATGGAGAGGAGGGAGGGCACCTTTCCCTAGAGGGGGAGGGAGTGAGGGAGCATCTGATAAATGCAGAGATGAACTGTGGGTGGAGGCCCAACACCCCTGGAAACCCACCTCAAACAGGGCCATGTTCTTGCCATCGTACTCCTTTCCCTTCTCCGTGTCGGTGCTGTTGATGAAGGGGCTGCTCTCCTTGGGGTTGCCATCACCTGAGAAGGCAGAGGAGTCAGTGGTCTGGCACCAACTGGTTGTCATCCATCTGCCTGGGCCAATGCAGCTGTGTGGCCACTTGAACTCTCTGATCTTCCGTTTGCACACTGGAAACATGGAGCTAATATTCCTCCCTTGCAGAATTTTAGTTGACAGCAGGTATAAAGAGCCTAGTGCACTCCTTGGCATGTACTGGGTACTTAATAAATGTGCAAGTGCTTCCTCACTCTTAGGGGTCCCGTTTCATTCATCAGGGCACCTTAGACTCTCCATGGTCCCTTCCTTGACCATAACTGGGCCCATCTGGTGTTTTAGGGTAGAAGCATGCTCTCTTCTGGGGGAAGGGCAGAGAAAACTACAGCCTGAGGCCCCAAGAATACGCCACATCTTAGAAAAGTGATCCCCTTGGCACCTTCTATGCCCTCATTCATCTTCAGTCAACATGTATTTGCTGGATGTCTTCCATGTGCTAACATGAGCACAGGAATGGAGGGAAAGTAAAAGGCAGAATAAGACACCATTCCTGCCAGTAACCAGGAACTTTCAACCCAAACTGGTAAGTTCTGTGATAGAAGCTGAATAAGGGACTATAGGAACACAGGAGAGAAATTCAGCCCCGCCTGGGAGGTCAGGGAAGGCTTCCCAGAGGAAGTGACGTGTCAGCTGAGAACTGAAGGATGAGTAAGAGATAGACTGGGAGGAAGGCGGGAGGGTGTTCCAGGCAGACAGAAGAGCAGAACAGCCTGTTCGATGGCCCAGAGGTGAGTGAACAGAGTGGGCTAGAGGAGCTGAAAGAAGTCTGATCTGGCTGGAGTCTGAAGAAGGAGCATGAGGGTGGGTAGACCTGAAGAATGGGTGGTAGCATCTGAAAAGATGAGCCTGGTATGGTAAATGTGGGCTGGGTCCTTACACAATTAGCAGGTCATGTTAAAGATTTTGGATCTCATCCAGAGGACAATGGGAAGTCACTGAAAAGTTTCAGGCAAAGAAGTACCATGAACAGACTTGTGCCTTAGAGCAATCACTCTGGCCTTTAGCTAGTTAGGGACTTTCAATCATCTAGACAAGGGCTGATGACCCAGACCTGCGCAATGCAGGACAGTGGACGGGAATTATTGGCACATATCTCTATGCCAGATGTTTGGGAGTGGAGAAAGGAGGAATCTAGAATAATGCCTGTGGTTTGGGATAAATAGGTGGGTTGTGGTGCTATTTAATAAATGGGAAAGGGGGAGATTGAGGTAGAGAATATGCTGAATTTGATAGAGAGTGAGGCACTGTAGGACACTCAACTGAATAAGACTAGAAGCCACTTGGATATACAGATTCATCTGAGACCCAGCAAAGAGGCTGGGCAGGAGAAAGCAATGGGAGTAACTAAGAAATAAAAATAAAACAGTGTGTGTAGGAAGTGTGTGAAACCATGTGCCTGGATGAGATCACCCAAGGAGAAAGTCTCTTCACCATCAAGGAGAGGGTCCCTTACAAGAGATATTAGGGACCCCCATAGGCACAGTCCTTTAGCTCCAGCCATCCCCCTTCCTCAGTGCCAGGGCCGAATCCCTGTAGTAGATCTCTCCCTGGACCCCGCAGAAACTCCCCACAGACCGAAGTCCAAGTGAAGCTGAGGCCCTACATATTCTGAATTACCTGTGCTCTTATCTCCTAAAATCTCTCTCCCTCTCCCTCTTCCACTTCCCCTCTCTCTCCCCCTTCTTCTCTCTCCTTCAGTCCAAATCCTCCCCAAACTCCTCACCTCCTGGAAACTTCACTTAGTCCAGCCAGGGTCCATCCCCAAAGAATGACCTGTTATAAATCCAATCTCATCCTGACTCAAAATTGTAAAGGGGGAAAGAGGTGAGGCCCAAAGGAAACTCACTGTCTCCTGCCCACCACCTTCACCTTGTCCATCAAAGTCAGGTACTCCTGGTCCCCAAACAGGGGGCCACCACCTGCGCTTTCTTCTCACATATGTGAGTTCCTGAGAATAGTAGATCTGCCCTCCCAGTAGAAGCCTGGCACATAATGGGTGCTCAGAAAAAAGTTTTTGGACAGAAATTTCCCCAGGCTCCCTTCCTGACCCCAGGGTCTCAGAAGAGCTGTCTGGAGTCGGAGAACAGGAGAAATAAAAGCGAGGTGGGTTACTTCTCCTTTTAAAATGCTGACAAGATGTCTTGTGTTCTCACCTAGCTATGATAGGAACTAGTGGGGTTGAGGGGAAATGAGAAGACACATTTCTTAGTGGTTAAGAAAAAAGGTTAGCGTCAAAATTTAGGTTTTAGTCCCAGCTTCACTGGCTGTGTTGCCATGTTGGGCAACTCAAACTCTAAGCCTCAGTTTCCTCCTGTACAACGGAATAATAACCGTATTTCACTGAGAGGACCGTTGGGATTAAGCGAAGTGATGCCTGTAGTGTATGCCTGGCACAGAGTGGAGCTATTGCTGCTGCTATTACGATCACGGCTATTATTAGCATACGTGGTGCCCCTCCCAGCCTGGACTTCCCCAGCTGCAAGATTCAGGGGCCCGGTCTCTTGTGGGACTGGGTTCCTCTCCACGCAGCGCCGGGGCCAAGACAACCAGACAGGAGGGCCCCTCCTCTCTGCCTTTCACGCCCCCTCCCAAGCCCCTCTTCCTTCGTGGAGGCCCGGGGCGCGTGCGGGGCAGGAAGTGGGGAGTCCTGGCTGGAGACTCTGCAACTAGGTAGCCCGGTACCGGTTTCCAAGGCGACCGCGCGGGCCGAGAGCGCAGCGCAGAGCCGGCCACGCGCCCGCAGCCGCTTATGTAACGCGGCGCGCAGCGCGGAGCCAGACTCCAGGCAGGATCTCAGCCAGGAGATAAGGGTCGGGGAGGGGGCGGCTCTGTAGGCTTGTTCTGGGTCCTGTCTTTCCACCAGTCGACTGGACTGGACGCCAGGCTCCCAGCCTCGTCTGCCAGAGCTGATTTTGCCCCTCCCTGGAACGCCAGGCGCACTGGTTGGGGGCAGTATGGGGTGGCTGAGCTTCAGGAGTTCTCAAAGGGGCAGGATTGCGAAGGGGGAACTCATCCAGATTCCCTAGAGCCAGCAGTCAGGACGGCGGGGGAGCGCCCAGTGGCGCGCGCAAGAGAGGTAGGGCCAGACTGAGGCTGAGCCCTCTCCGCCCCCGCCCCCGCCCCCTGGGAGCTCTCAGCCCGAATCGGCTTTCAATTAAGCTGCGGCGGCCAGAGCTCCCGGGGAGGAAACAGGCGAGCGGCGCGGCTAAGGAGCCTCCTCCCGGTGGGCCTGGGGCCAGGCCTGGGGGAATCCCCAAGCGAGATTGGGGCAGTGGGGAAGGGCGTCAGACCTCAACGAAAAAAGACCTGGAGGCCAGAGATAATATCCTTGGATTCTTATTTAGTCCAGAGGAGTCCTTTCACTTGGGCCATTCCTATCTCCCCGAGGTCAACACCCAGGTTCCTCCCACCCACATCCTCAAGAACTTAAGATCAGAGGTGCCAGGGACTCTCCTCTGAGGATTCCTCTTCCCACAACCCCAGCAGGTCCTTAAAGCCCCCAACCATCTTCTCCAGTTGCTTCTGAGAGGCCTTCTCTCTCTCTGGGACTCAAAACGCCTGATCCAAGTTCAGACCACTCTAGTTCCAGGTCCTGGACACTATTTATAGAGAAAGGGTCTCCAGATGGTCTTACTACATTCAGAGTCTAGAAACTAATAAGGAGGATATAGAAGTGAAGGGAGTTCCTAGTTTGATTCCCTCTCTGCACACATAGGTGCCTCTTTTCTAGGCCTCCTGAGACCCCATGGAAACCCCAAGGCTCAGTAAGGCACCAACCTCAGGGATCGGACCATACCCCTTTTCTAGGCTAGTAGAGAGATTATCTCTCAGGTTGAGCCCCTGACCTCATAGTGGAGGCATCTGAAGGGGGTTCTAGGCAGAAATGACCCCTCCTCGTTCCCTGCGCATCAGCGTTGGGATGCCCGGTGCTGATGCAGACTCCACTTAACCAAACCCTCCCTCCCGCCCTGGCCCCCACCCCCGCCCCAGACTAAGCTTGTTGGGGAGGGGGGAAGCTTTGAGATGAGGCAACCCCAGTGTCACTGGGGAGATAGATGAGATGACCAGCCAGTAGTTAAGACCCCTGTATACCACTCAGACCCAGAGAAGAAGAGTGGGTCTCAGACAAAGGATTGGGGACCCTGGTGTCCACAGCCTTCCCAAGTGGCCACTTGGCTCTGATTTCGATTCAAGATCCGAAGGACTTCAAGTCAAGACTGCCAGTCCTTGGAAGACCCCACTCTTTCAGCCATTGGGACCTTTCGGCCATCCCCTGGGGAGATCTGCAAGAGTCTGGGCCCAGAGGGTCAAGCAATGCCCAGGGGAACGTTTGAAGGCACTGAGCGCAGACAGCAGGAGCAGGAGGCGCGCTAGTGAGCAAGGGACGCAGCGCCGCTGGAGGGTGGGGGGTGGGGGCGGCTGACAGCCGTGATGGATGGCTGAGACCGCTGGGGGGCGGCGGGGGGCCTGGGAGCCCAACGGGGTGGCTGGCCCCTAAGACCTCGGAGCTGGGAAACAGCGAAGGAGGGCGGGGGAGAACCGAGGCAGCGCAAGGACTTGTTCCAAACCCATCGGTTCCTAGCGAGTCTCCGCACCCACCGCAGCGCGTCCGCAGTGTCCGCGCCGCGGCGCCGGGGATTCAGCAGCTGGAACCCCATTCCTGAGGCCTTACCGAGAAAGCTAGCAGAACTGACTAAAAAGACTCCCCCCTGCCCCGCCCTGGAAACCTCACTGCCATCCCAGGGTACTGAGAGGAAGGGGAAAGAGGGAAGAAAGGAGGGTGATCTTGCTTCCCGTCCTGAATAGGAACCCACGGGGACGCGAGAAGAAGAGGCAGATTCCGCAAAGTAGAGCTGAAAATCTCCGGGGGAGGTATGCTTCATTCTGAAGTCGGACCTCAGGCAGCTTTGGGGGAGGGGGCCTAGATTGCACCAAGTGTCCTCATAAGGAGACACCGCAGCCGGGACGGGACCGTCATATGGCTCCAACCCCTCAGAGGTACCTTCCCCTTCATCTTTCAGCTGGAAGTCTCAGAGCGAGGGACTGCAGCAGACTGTGCTCCCCCACCACCACCACGCCACCAGTCAATACTCTGCGCCAGGACGCCGGGGTCCCTTGTGGGAGGAATAAGCCCTCTTTCCGCCCGTCGAGCTCCACGTCAGCCCATTCTAGCTCTTCCATACCCTTCCCACCGCCTCCCCCGCTCGATTAACCTACGTCTGCCCGCCCCCCATCAGTGGGCAATGGCAACCCCTCGGCCCCCAGCCCTGCCCCAGGCGGAGCGCATTCCAGCACCTCGGACAGCGCCTAGCGCATTCCAATGGAGCATGGCTCCAGGCCGCCGTGGGCGCCCACCGCCCCAGTCATTCCCAGCCTCTTCTCTGAAGGAGGCGGCCCCCGCTCTGCCTCTAACCCCACAGCCCTCCTCTCCTCGCCGCCCCCGTACCGCTGCTTACCGGGGTTGGCTCCCCCATCGCCGTCCTCGCAGTCAGTCAGGTTGTTGAGCATGGTGGCGGCGCCGCGCCGGGCCCGGGGATGGCTGCGCCGCCTCGCCCGCGCCCCTCTGCCCGCCTTCTCCGCTCTCTCGCTCGCTCTAGCTCTCTCTCGCCCTCCGCTCCACAGAGGAAGAAGCTGCAGTGCCCGCCCGCCCGGCGCACACACACTCGCACACGGACACACGCTCACACCCGCGCGCGCCCCCTCTCAGCGGCGGCGCTGCTCACCTCATCCCGTATGCAGGAGGCGTGAGCCACTGGCGAGGTTTTGGGGGGGAGAGCAGGAGGGAGGAAGAAGAGGGGACGAGGGGCGGGCAGAGCTCGCCTGGTGGACCCCTCGCACTAAAACTGAGGGCTTGCACGGGTGGAATAGAGAGGGTGCTGCAGAGGGTAGGGGCCTCGCCTCCCTTGAGCAGACACAGCTCTGCCCGCCCCCCCACTCTCCGGCGCAGGCGGGGCCGGCACGTGGGCAGGTGCCATCCCGCGCCCTAAAAATAACGGCAGGGAACTAGGTCGCGGCCGCGGGGAAGCGGCCCCGCAGTGGCTGCCTGGCTAGGGGTCTGGGACGACCCCTAGGGGGAAGATGAGACTTCGAGGGTGGGGCACCATGGAATATGGGTCCCTGGAGAGCCTGTCTGCAAAGCCCGGAAGCAAGCCCTGAAGAGGGGTGGAGAGCCAGACCCTCTCTCATATCGCTGTTCAAGAGGTTGGTGCTGGGGGTGTGGAGAGGCCAGAGCTTTAACTGAAGCACTGTGCTGCACCCATGGTGGGGGAGGGGGCTTGGGGTCACTGGGCTGAACTATCTGGCTCATCCAGTCTTAAAATGGGAGAACTGGAGCCTGAGGAGTTGCAATGAACCCTCTCACTGTGCTTAGACTGACAAGAATCCTAGCACCTCATCCCCAAGAAAAATCCCTGGAGTCCACAGACATGGACCCTCTAACTGTGGAATGACACTGGGAAGGAGACACGGTGAAGAGGAGAAAAAGCATCAGTGAGGTTCCAGGGAACGCTGACTCCCCACCAGGGACGGTGCAGGCTCTAGGGAAGGCAGACCAGTCAGAGGCAAGCCAGGGACAGAATGGGGGAGGGGGGAATGAGGCCGCCTGTGGGTTTGGGACCAGATTTTCTCCTGGGGCAGGAGTGTCTAATCCCCTAATCCAGGATTGCTTTCTGTGAATTCCAGAGCTGACATGCTGTCTGTGTTCCTCTCCCTTGCCTGACACAGGTCTCCTAGAAGATTGATTATCCTGGGACCCCTCAGCACCCCTAGATCCAGGCTGGAGCCTGTGGTGGAGACATCTCAGAAAGTAGCATCAGAGGTTTGGACACTTTGAGTCGCTGAAAGATCTAAACATCAAAGGGTAAGAACAGATTAAGGGTAAATGATTTTCAGACCCACCCTAGCTAGCCCCCACCACTAGCCCTCTAAGTTCCACAAGAGTTCCTGGGCTGGAAGGGATGACATTAATCATTTTATCTCATGCACAGCTTTCATTTTACAGATGAGAAAGTTAAGACCCAAAGAGGAGAAATAAATGACTACATGTGGACACAATGCCAGTGAATAGAAGAACTTGGTCTAGGATCCAGGTTGCTTTATTGCAGTTTAGGACTCTGCTCGTGTGTGTGTGTGTGTGTGTGTGTGTGTGTGTGTGTGTGTGTGAACACAACCTCTTTTTAACTTGCCCCTGTCTCCAATAAAGAAGACCTCTGAATCGTGGCTACTAAAAAAGGAACAGGGACTGTGTCTGAGATGAACTTTGTTCCTTTTCTTGTGCTCAGGTTTCAGAATTACCAGACTGGAGTGGCCTCTTGGCTTGCAACTGAAGGTGGGCCCAGAAGGCCTTTAGAAGTCCTTTAAAGCCATCCACGTGACTGGAGATCCAGTTCTGGTAATGTGACTTTTCAGGACCATGGACAGGGCTCTCGGTTGAGATTCCCGTGCCCGCATTTGTCGGTGGCTTCAGACTGAGGCAACCACAGTCTTCCGTGGCTGACTGAGAGGAGCCCCTGAGGGACCCATCAATAAGGTATCATTGCCACTGGGTTCTGTGGATGCTGGAAGGACACCAGGGTGAAGAGCTAGCTTTTCAGGCAGGTGTGAAAATTCACCTTAGCTTTCCAAGAGGAAAAAATACAAACAAACAAAAAAAAGTGAAATAAGTTTGGATTGGTGACAGGGGTTAAAAGAAGAGTAGCCTAGTGTTCAAGAACTTCTGAGCACTCCACTACACACACCAGTAGCAGCATTATGGTTTTCCACTCCTCTGTAGAGACAGGTAACATAGTAAAACAGGTAGTATGCTTGCCGGGGATATGCTGTGAAATAAATTAAGTGCTGAGAGGGTTGGTGTGGGGTTTTTTTTTACCCCCAGCAAACTCAGACCTGGGATGTTCTCCTGGGGATATGTCTTTCATTTGTAGCCCAGAGGCCTAGCCACCTCGGGACTGAACCCATCCACGAGGGAAACCTACATCCCAAGGGAGTACAGGTGAAGACAGGAGTGACTCCTCTTCCCTTGGGTTCCAATCTGTCCACCCTCTAGAGAGTTCCTATCTCATGAGGCATCTGGAATTCAAGAAATAATGCTGCTATCCTGTCCTCTGCCCCAGAACCCTGTGTATCCCTGGGCAAGATGGGGGTCCTCTCTCGGGATTCAGTAACTTCATCTTTAAAATGAAAGGGTGAAGCTGCATAATCCATGGAACTTCTTCCCTCTGAAAACTCTTAGTGCTCTTTCCAGTATCTCAGACTAATGCCAAGGAGCCCTTCCTAAGGAGCTCAGACTCAGTGAAGTCACAGCCCCAAGGGCAGACCCCAGACCTTCATTTCACACCCCTCACCTTTCAAGGAGACTGGTCCCTATTCTGGCCCCAGGCCAATGCTCTGCAGTGAGGTTTTGAGAAAACACATTGCAGGAGCCTCATGCATTGCCAGCTTGGCCAGTAAGGTCACCAGCAAGGTGTCCCTCAGCTCTGAGCCCCAGGAACGTGGCTGCCAGCTCAGCACTCCATCCCCTCCTAGAGCCCTAGGAATATCTAGGGAGAGGGGAACCCTCTCATGAAAGCACACAAGAGGCAGAGCTGAGCGGGCTCCTGTTTCTGAACTCTGAGTCTCTAAAACTGACCCCCTCTCCCACTTTATGTTCCTCAGAGAGAAAAAGTGTTCAGAGAAGCTGCCTCCTAAGTATCAGGATTTGGGAATTAGAAGAGACTTTTATAAATTATTTTTTATCACTCACCGTTTATGGGGAAGGAAGTTGGTCTAGAAATAGAAGTGTGCAAATTTTCTTCATGAGGTGGACTTGTGGCAGACTGGGGACTAGAATTAGCTCCCCTACCTCCAGCCCAGGGCTCCATCCGCTGAACCAAAATGAGGGGCCATTTCGAGGAAGCTGGGGCCACCTGACTGGGTCCTTCTTTCATGGAAAGCAGGCATAGTGTTCCTCCTAGTGACTCAATCCCTGTCCATCCTTATGCCCATATCATTACCCCAGGACTTAATTTACAACCCCCAGCTCTGACCCCATGGAGCCAAGGCCTGAACTCCCTCATCTGTTCTTCTCTCCCCCGCACACCCTGTCCTCCAGACCCCAAACCCTCTCAGTGAATTGATGAGTCCAGAGTACAGCACACCCCACACACAAGGCTCACAGCAGAGCACATCAACCACCATTGTCTCCGTGGCAACCGGGGGCTAATTAACAGGCTGCAGCCCTATCACCATGACAGTGGCACCCCAACAGTCTCCCATTCCCCTTCAGATTCAGCCCATCTTCCCTCTTTCTCAACCTGCACCCCCTTCTCACTGCACCCACCCTCACCCCCACCCCACCTAGAGAGCCGAGGCCTGGAGATCTCTCTGGTTCATTGAGAAGAGGGGAGGGGAGATGAGGGGGATGAGAGAGAGAGGGAGAGAGAGAGAGAGGCCTGTCACCATAGCAACTGCAGCCACGTTCATAACCAGTTTGTTGCCATGGAGATTCCCAGGGCTCACCTTGGGCTGAGGTACTGGGCAGTGAGGCTCTGAGCCCTGACTTGAGGACGAGGTGACTGGAGAACTTCTTGGACAGGTATAAATCATATATTTACACCAATAACCCAGGTCATTCTTCCCAATTTATAGGTTTGGGTATGGGAAAAGCAGAGGACTTCATCCTTCCAGATTATCAAAGAATCTTAGCCTGTTTATGGCTAGAAAGACCCTCATACAGTTTCCTGGTCAACTCCTTTATAAAACAGATGAGGAAATTGAGGTGCAGAGAGGGGAAGCAAAGCCACACAAAGAGTCTGAGCTAGAGCATGGATGGGCTATTGTGGTCTTGCTCCATCGTCCTGGAAGGAGCATAAGTTGGCTCCCTCTCACTCTATGGGGACACATCCCAATTCCTGTTAGTGTTAACCCAGGCCCAGGGCTCTTTCTAGTACCCTGCCTTCCTCAATGAAAACGGAGGCACAGCAGGGAGTGGTATAAAGGGGCAGGGGAGTAGCTCAGAGTTACAACAACTGGTCAGGTCCACTTCAATCCAGCCATCAGTCTCCCCATGGTATAGATGAGGCAGCTGAGGCATGGGGCTGCAGCACAGGGTTACCAGTAGATTCAAGGCTCAGCCTCTAACTTGCTTCCTTCATCCCTGTAGTCATGTTCCCACCTATAGCTGATCTCCTGGCAGCAGGAAGCACCTCCAGGGACAAACTCCCCTCCCTTGGTCCAGAATGAAAGGCAATGCTCATACACAAGAGACCTGCAAAACCTCCTCCAAGCCTTCCCCTACCCTGTACGTGCTGCCATCTCTCCCTGTGGGCATGAGTGAGAACAAAAGGTGGGGGAGTACCTCCTTAGGGTCATAGGGCTGATATAAGAACAGCTGTGGGAAAGACACCATCAGATACTTGGTTTCCCTAAGGAACCCTTGTCCAGTTCCCCATGCAATGATATATCAAGGAGGAGGTACTGGAGTCTGTTTCAAGTCCTTAAGAGGTTAAAAGTCACCCAAATCATTCTCCAGGTGGAACATCCAATAAACTCAGCACACAGGTACCCACCCTACAGATAGACACAGAAATACACACATCAACATGCCCACCAACAACACACTGGCATACAGTGACACACATAAGTACTGACTTATTGACCATCCCAGAGGTCATTAGAGCTAGTGTGGGATGCTCCTCCCTCAAGAAACACAAAGACATATACACAAGACCTCTGCCGCAAGCACAGTTTTCCAGATTCACATACAGTTTGCACAGATACATGCACACTCCAAACTGAAAGCTGAGATGAGAGAGGACCGTCTCATTCTCAGGTCAGGGGGTGAGGAATGGGAGGAGAGAAGGCAGGGGCAGGAGAAGCAGGACCCTACAGCCTCTCCCCCTCTCATCTGATGAGCATTAAGTCCCTGCTAAGTGCCAGGCTGTGGACTTAGAACTTGGAACGCAAAAATTAAAAAATATGGTCCCTGCTCAGACATACAAAAAAGAAAGAAAGCTTGCCACTTATGACAACATAGATGGATCTAGAGGGTATTATGTTAAGTGAAACAAGTCAGATAGAGAAATATAAATACCATATGATTTCACTTAAATGTGGAATCAAAAAAATAAAACAAATGAACAAACAAAACAAGACAGAAACAGACTCATAAATACAGAGAACAAACTGATGGATACCAGAGAGGAAGGGGGTAGAGGGATTTGTGAACAAAGCAAAGGGGATTAAGAGGTTCGAACTTCCAGTTACAAAATAAGTTACAGGGATATAATGCACAGCACAGGGAATATAGTCAATAATATCATAACTTTGGTGACAGATGGTTACTAGACTTATCATGGTGATCACTTTATAAATTACATTATGTTGTACACCTGAAACTAATATAATATTGTATGTCAACTATACTTTAAAAATAAATAAGTAAATAAATTAAATAAAAATATTTTTTAAAATGAAAAGGATATTGTCCCTGCCCTTGAGTTGCAGGAGACATTCCATCCACTGTGCCCTAATGATGCAGTGGGTGGGCAGAAGAGGAATGACTGCCTCTGTCTCAGAGTGAGGGAAAGTGAAAAAGTTTTTCAGAAGAGGTTAAATGAGCTAAATAACTTACAGAGTGAGTAGGAGTTTCCCTGGCTAATGGAGTTGGAGAGATGAACACGATCAAGTATACCAGGAGCCCACGAGGAACATGTTTGAATGATGGCTTGGCCTTTATTCTAAAGCAATGGGAATCATGTATGGAGTGTGGTTAGGATAGAATTGAAGGCAGGCAGACCAGTGAGGAGGCTTGGTGGTGGCCATGTGACAGATGATGGAGGTTTGGACCAAGGTAATGTTGACAGGAAAAATGTGGCCAAATTCAGGAGTTTGGGAAATGGAGTGGTCAAGACATGAGGACCCCCTCATTGGAAAGAGGAAAGAAGGCACTGAGAATGGCTCCTGAAGTTGACTTTTGAATCTGCAAGGATGATAAGGACATTCATGAAAATGAGAAAGAGGGCAGACAGATTATGGAAAAGATAGAGTGGAAGGAGCCCAAGAAATCCGGGTGGCCACGTCCAGGAAGCGATTGGTTCATGGGCTGGAGTCCAGTGGAAATCTAGGTCTTAGTTTGGTCATTTATACAATGAGGAGATTCGCCAAAGAAACCCCTGAAGGGCCCCTCTAGGGTTTGAGGTGCTTAGTTTTGCTGGAGACTGGGTGAGCTCACCTGCGGCTCATCAGCGACCCCTGGCGGCCCGGGGAGGCTCTTCCTCCTCCCGGCGCAGGGGCCACTCCAGGCGGATTCGCCAAGTTCCTCCTAGACCTGAGCGGCACAGAGCCAGGGAGGGGGATCCCCAACAAGAGCCCCCTGCGAAGTGTGTGCATCCAGGATGTCTATTTCTCACCGAAGGCTAGAAGGATCCTGCCTTTCCTCTCTCTTCTGTACCCTACCTGCAACTTCCATCACAAGACTACTGCACTGGGCCCTCGAAGAAGACGCCCCCAATCCCTCTGGAATTGGCTCCATCCATCTCTTCTGGTCTTGGAGCAGAGGGAGCTAAGTGGGTCCCTGAGGGTCAGGACTGGAGTCCCCATGGGATCCTCCCAGGATCTACTTGCCCGATGTCTAAACTAACTTCCCTTTCTACCGTCTCCTTCCTCGGCTACCCGGCGCTGTCCACGATGCCTCCAGGGAGGCGGAAGATTGGAGGATCTGTCACGCACCTGTGACCGACGGACCCAGCACCTGCCTCAGCAATCCGGACTCATTTTTCCTCCCACCCTCAACGCCACCCCCACCCTGATCTCACTCCTATCCTCCTGGCCCACCCCCTTTCCCTCTCGTCACACCCTTTTCTGCCCCCAAACCGAGCTAGTCTTACCTCCTCTCATTGGCTCCGTACCCAACCCTTAATCACACCGCCCTCTGCGTCCCCTGGTTCCACATTTTCCCCTCTGGCCACGCCTCCTACCGGAGATGAGCCCGCCCCTTTAGTGTCCAGCCCCCCTTTACTTTATCGCCTCCATCACAAGATCGGCCCTTCGTCTTTGGCTCCAATGTCTTCCCGTGGCCCCGCCCACCTCGAATCTGGCCCCTCCCTTCACAATTTCCCATCCCTCTCCTCTCCAGCCCCGCTAGGTCTCAGCTCCTCTCCGCGCTCTAGCCTGCGGTTGGAACCCACGCCCCTTCCAGCAGAAGACCCGCCTACCGTGGCTCCGCCCCTTCTCTCGCCCCGCCCACTCATTCAGGCCCCGCCCCCTGCGGCCTCTACCTTTGGCGTCTTCCCCTGAGAGGTGGCAGACATCAGCGGCCGAATGCCTGTGGGACTCTCGGTCAGGGGTCCCGGCGGGCCCTGCGGGGGGCAGCGAGGTGACAGTGAACCTGAGGCTCATGGTGGGGAAAGGGGCCGTAAGGCCGCGCTACGGTCCGGATCGTACAAGTGGCCGCAGCTTGGCTCTAAGAGGCAGAAAATGCGGATTCCCTCCAACCCCCCGCCGGATGCGGCGCCGCGCAGGGTCCTAGTGCCCGCTGAGCTCCCAATGTTCAGACATTTTTGGTTGTCACAACCAGAGAGAGGATGGTACTGGCATCTGGTGGTAGAGGCAACTTGCACCATCTAGGCTTGTACCAAGGCTGCCTGACCATGAGCCACAGGTTTACCATCATCTCCCTGCACTCCCCCCACCCCACGTTGAGGTCCATGGTATGGGGAGGAGGACTGAGTCGGAATGAGTCTGGCATTTGTCCATGGATCGATCCTGCTACCTCCTGGAGGAGGACACCAAACATTTTACAGTCCCTCACAAGGAACTATCTGGCACGAAGTGGTGCCGAGTTTGAGAAACTGTCCTAGAATAAGGAGTTTATCAGATTCCTAGATCTTAGGATTGACCAGGTTTTTAAAATCATGCTTAAGCATGATTGAGGGCAGATGATGCTGTCTTTTACTAAGATAGTGAAGCAAGATGGAGAAGCATGTTTGGAAGGTGGAGCCCAAGAGTTCAGTCGGATTTGTTAGGTTGAGAAGCCTATTAATCATGCGAGGATCATGCAGAGTCCGCAGTTGAACCTACAAGTCTGGAGCTCAGGGGAAAGGCTAAGGTTGGGGATAAAATTTTGGAGATGCTACTTCAAGCTTGTGGGGCTAGACAAGATCACAGACGATAAGTGTACACAGAGAAGTCCAAGGATTGAGCACAAGGGCACACTATCAATTAGAGATTGGAAAGAGAAAGACCCAGCCAGTGAGGTAAGAGGAGAGACAGGAGTAAGAGGAGTCCCAGAGACCAGATGAACATTTTCAGGAAGAAGGCATGATCAATTGTGTCAAAGAACCTGAGAGATGGTATGTGAGCACAGAGGAGTACCCACTGTCTCCCTTGCATCTGGCTGCAGAAAGGTCATATGGGTGGCTTTGAAGAGACTGATTTCAGTGGTGTAGTAAGGTGGGAGCAAGGCTAGAAGTAGCTGAGAGAATGGGAATTGAGAAAGTGGAGACAGTGAGTAGAAATCCATATTTTGAGGAAGTTCTACTACAGATGGGGATGGGGAGTAGAGAAATGGAACAGTATCTAGAGTCAGGGGTCCAGAGGAATTTTAAACAAGCCACAATAAGGAATCTGTGAATGCCAATGGGAGTTGATCATTCCTGAACAAGAAATGGATGAGTTAGGAGCAAGGCGCTCCACCCAGAGAACCCTAGGGAGAAGCTCTCTTACCCCTTCCTTAAACTCTCATTTGAACCCTGGGTCCAGAAGATGATCAAATCTGAAGTGTGTGCATCCAGGATGTCTATTTGCTCCACTCATTTGCCCCACCCTTCAGTCAAGTCCCTCTGTCATCCTTTGAGGTCAAGTGCACACTCCTCAGCCTGGCATTCAGACCTTCTCTCATCTAGTCCAACCCACCATTCCTACCTCAATCATTCCAGAATCTTCTCTGCTCCCCTCTCATCCACCTGCTAAAAACACACACATGAGTTCTGAGCCATTTGTAGTTCCCCAACACTGCCTGCTTTTCTCTTCACCAAGAGCATACATTCAAATCCCATTGTCACCGCTCACCAGCTATGAGACTTCAGGTGAGCTGTGCCTCAGTTTCATCTGTAAAATCGGGCAGGGGGTAATGGCAATAAGAACAGTACCTATATGGTAATAGTACCTGTCTCACAGGGTTGATTTAAGGATTAGCTCTGTTGACACAGAAAACACGTGGAACAGTGCTGGCATATAGTGAGTGCTGTACTAGGGATAGCTACTATTGTTTCCAAACAGAAGAGGGTCTGCCCACTCAACATGCAGCAAAGCCAAACACTGAACACCGAGTCTTGCAGTGGAAAAATTAAAGAAATTTATTGGCTGGGCACCAAGCCAGGAAAACAGCAAACTAGCGTTCAAAATCCAAACTCCTTGATAACTTTTGATCAAAACCCAAACTCCTTCATGGCTTTCAAAACTGGCCAAGATCAAGGGTTAGGAGTTAGGGGTCATGGGTGAAACTGATTGGCTAGTTCTTGTGCAAGCCTCAGCAATTTTCCTTTGTCTGATTTAGTTTCTGACATCATCTTGTCTGGTGTCTTTGTCACTGTAGTCAGATGATCTCACTAGGTTGCAGAACCAAGATTCTGCAAAATATCTCATAATTGTGCATCAGTGATGTTATTTTTTTTTTTCAATCCTCACCCGAGGATATTTTTCCATTGATTTTCAGATAGAGTAGAAAAGAGGGAGGGAGGAAGGGAGAGAGAGAGAAAGAAACATCAATGTGAGAGACACATCAAGTGATATTATCTTTAAAGCAAGAGGCAGAAACTAAACATCTTGTGACCTTGGTTATTGTTTAAGTCGTTGTTTTGTGCTTAACTAGTTACATTTGTCTATTATCTCAGGCAAAGTGTACTTTTAAACATTTTTCCTGAAACTTGCTTTACAGGCAGGCCTCTAGGAATAACATATGTTATTTTTTTAAATATGTTTTTATTGATTTTTAGATAGAGAGGAAGAGAGAAAAAGAAAAAACAATTGGCTGCCTCCTGCACCCCTTCAGTGGGGATCAAGCCTGCAACCCAGGCATGTGCCCTGACCGGGAATTGAACCAGCAACCTCTTGGTGCATGGGTTGATGCTCAACCACTGAGCCACACCGGCCGGGCAACTAACATATTTTCTTAATATTTGACTATAAGCTACATGACAACCAAAGCAATTAAAACATGTAATTAAAGCCTATATCTATATTTCTAGACTCTATAATCTAATACCTAAACATGTTTACTTTTAACTGTTCATTTCACTATCATCATCCATATATAGTTCATATTTTATTTTTCCACTGCCTTACCCCCAGGCACTTAGGTTGTTGCCAGTACAAACATCCTTCTATGTGTTATTTTGTGCAGGTGTGTGAGGGTTACAGAGTAAATTCATTTAGGTTCTTGGTAAACAACTCTCCTAGAAGACAGTCCTACTTCTACAAGAAACTCTTGTTCATCCTCCTAGTTTCAGCACAGTTCAGGTGTCATCTTGGCTGAGGAACATTCCCTGACTTTAAGCACAACACACAGAATCACACACACACACACACACACACACACACATCTTTAGGATAAAGGGTCACAACTGCACACTCTCCGACTGTGATCCCACCCCCACTGGCCACAGAACCACTCTTATAACTGAGTTAGACTCTCTGGGGGCAGAGCCTGGAGTCTGCATTTTAGGCAAGTTCTGAGGGTAGTTTTATGCACCCAAAAGTTAGAGGACCACTGAGAGGTCCTTGAGGACAGAAAGAGCCCAATTCATCTCTCTATCCCCAGTGCCTAGCACAGAACCTGGCTCCATGTAGGGGCTCAATAAATGTTTGATAAATAATAGGTCGTTTCCTTGGCTGTAAAACAGGAATAATCACATTATACTTTCCTAATAGGAAGAATTGAATATGTTAATATATATGAAGTGCTTAGAACACTGCCTGGCACATAGTAAGCACTCTGTTGGTTAAATACACACGTATACATACATACATATATATGTGCTTGCATACATACATACATAATACATAAATCTCAAGGTTAGAGAATCCAAATTTATTAAACACATTCCAACAAAAAAGGATGGTGGAACAAGAGGGCCCAGCCCACCTCCACTCATCCTTAGTCTTTCAGAACAGACCCACCAGTTTGTAGCCAGCAAACTGGCTCCTTCTCCATCGGGATGGGCCCCGTGGGGACCCACACTGCAGTGCTGAAGCAGAATGGGGAGCCTCAATTCTCGGGGCACTTCAGGACATCAAAGGTCACGTAGCCCACTTCGTCCACCTGGTTCACCTCATTCTGGAAAGTCACGCGCCAGTAGAAGCGGTCCTGGCAGAAGTAAGCTTTGTCTGCAGAGGAGAGGCAGGTACAAGCGGGGTGATTCCAAACCTCCCACATATACATACAGAAGCAGAAACAAGATCTTTACAATCATCCCTCCTGCTCTTTCTACATCTTTCCAAGGTTTTCATGTGACAACTTCATCTCTCTCACAGAGGTGCTGGAAGGCACAGACCCGGATGTCCAAAGCACTGTCACAGAGCCTGGCACACAGTAGGTGCTCAGGGCAATTCATTCAACATTCGTTCATTCAGCAAATCCATTCACTCATTTATTCACTCAACAAAGACCTATCATGCCAAGTACTGTTAGAAGCACTGGGGATAAAGCAGAGAAAAACTGCAGGCATGGTCTCAGTTCTTTTGCTGCTTACGTTCTAGAGCAGCAATTTTCAACCAGTGTTCCGCAGAATTTTTAAAATGTGCAATACCTGACTATTTAGTCAGGGGCACTGACCTCTTTTCCCTTAGATTTTCAAATTAAAAAAAAAATAACAGCCAACACAACAATGGCCATCTGGTGTAAATGAATCAAAATTATACCTATTTTTTTTGTCAGATCGGCAAAAATACAGATTTCTTGGTGTGCCGCAGGATTTTAGTGATCAGTTTATGTGTGCCGTGAGATGAAAAAGGCTGAAAGCACTGCTCTAGTGGAGTAAGGCAAACATGTAAATAAATTAGGTTGGTTTTGACAGTGGAAAGGAAACAAAAGCAAGGAAATGAATAGATAATGAGAGTCGGAGAAGACCTCTTTTTAAGGTGGGTATAGTGCTGAGACCTGAAGGATAAGAGGGAGACAGCCTAGTGACAATCTGAGGGAAAAAACCTTCCAGGCAGAGGGAACAACTGGCACAAAGGCCCTGAGCGAGGATCGACCTTGATGTGGGCAAAGAGCAGCCAGAAGGTCAGTGTGGGTGGAGTGAGCAGAGAGAACGACAGATGGAGTAGGACGGGGTGAGGGGTCGGATCATGTTAGTTTCTTTGACCTTGCAATAGGTCTGGAGTCACCCTCAAAACTATTGCCTCCACTCCTAACCCCTCCCTACTTCCAAAGAATATATTAACAATACTGGACAACCAGGATGGCTTGGACTAGGGTGTTTGCAAAGGAGATAGTGAAAGTAAATATTTCCACAGTATAATCAGCAGAACTTGTCAATTGATTGGATGTGAGCAGTGAAAAGGAGAGAGTAGGTATAACTCCAACTAGCATCCTAATTTTCCAGATGGGGAAACTGAGGCTCTGGGAATAGCAGTGACTTGCCCAAAGATACACAGCTATGAATTGCCTTGTTTATCACTATATTCCCAGTGGCAGCACAGGGCCTGGCACATTATTGGCTCTCGACAGATATTGTATAATAAAGTAATGAACCTTCGTGCAAACCATGTGTCCTGTATCATAGGGGAAAGAGCTTTCATCTGGGAAGCCAGAAATCTGGATCTTAGTTCTAGTTGTGCCCCTTGCCCTTGTGTGGTGTGGGGAAGGTCCATGCCTCTATAACTGTGCTGGGGACATTTGCCTCAATCGCCAGGGCCCTTTCCTTTCTCGCTCAGAATGTGACCAATCTCTAAAGCAGGTGAGCCTAGCATGAGAAGAGGTATCTCGGAGAGGGACCCTCCCCTAAGCCCCGTATACAGCCATCACCTCGGTACTGGAAGATGTCGTGCGTGTTCAAGGGCACCCCGGGGAACATCTGGTCCACAGGGCTGGCACTCTTGGGATCTACCATCTGCGTCTTCACGTCAAACCTGCAGGAAGGCGGCGAGAAGACAGGTGCTGAGCGGCGGGCAGGCAAATGGCGCACGAGCTCCCCCTGCCGGCGGTCCCCGTGGCTCTCACCTCCAGAAGTTCTGTCCGCTGAACAGCAGCACCTTACCCCCGCCGCGCGGGAGGGCCCCGGTGACTTGGGTCACCTCCCGGCCGAAGCCCAGCTTGTCCAGACGCCTCGGGCCTAGTACCGACGCTCCTGTGTAGACCCACACTTGGAGCCCTGCAGGAAAGAAGGGTCACATCGGCCTGGGGGCAGGGAGAAGGCACACATTCTCCTTGAACGCCAGAAGGGAAAACCCAGCGAGATCTTTCGGAGACTGGCGTGTCCGCAGTCTCTGTGCCCACAAGTAGAGCCACTCGGTACGACGGTGCTGGGGTTCGGTGAAGAGGGGAGCTGAAATTCAGACCCCGTCAAATTTGCTGAATTGCATCCGCCAGGAGGGGGCGCGTTTTCTTAAATCCGCACATGACGTTTTAAGGATTATCCTCGGTCTCTTGTCCTATGTTGGTGAGGATGGGGAGGAGGGAAAGGAGAAAGGAGGAAACTAACCAGAGAAGAAGAAAATCTTCTTGGTGAGCGGATCCTGAAAGGCGGAATCCAGTTTGGAGGGTAGCTCAGACCACGTGTCCCTGATAAGGAAGGGGCCCTGCACCCGGCGTCCCTGAGCCTCAGAGAATCGCCAGTACTTCCTGGGAATGTGAAAAGGAAATGGAAGGGCACTGAAGCTTGAACCAAAGTGCCCTTCCAGTGGGCAGGGAGGGACAGGGAGGTCCCTCCTCCAACCCTCTCCCCACTCCCAACACACATCCCTGCCCCTCACCCATCCTTGAAGAAATGCAGGGTATTCCCGATCTCTGCGATGGCATCGAAGATGTTCACGTTGCAGACATTATCCTCTGGATAAAAAGACCCTGTAGGGGCCGCAGAAGGGCCAGCCGTGGGGGGACCCGTGGGGCGGGCCGTGGGGGGACCTGTAGGACCAGCTGAAGGGGGGCCTGTGGGGCCCGCAGTGGGGCTCTCTGAGGGGCGGGCAGTGGGAGGGCCAGTGGTGCAGATCGTTGGGGGCGCGGTGGGCTGGGTTTCAGGTGCAGTAGTTGGAGGCCGAGGTTCAGGTTTAGGGCGAGAACCTAAAAAGAGACACCAAATGAGACACCCCTATCCGGAATACTTCTGTGCCCTGGAATCTTCCCCAAAGCCTATCGGTTTTCCCCCCTGGCACTAACTTCCCTCACTTTAGCTGCTGGAGCCTGTCTTCCCCCAACCACAGAGAGGCCTCATCCCTTCCTACATTCACCTTTCATTCAATCCGTATTCATCCTATCCCTGGGCCCTATGAACATAAGACAGGCAGGAACATCCCCACCCCCACCCCACAGATGGGAAAGAAGTGTTTTTTGAGCACTCAAACTGAGCGCCAAGGAGTACTAAAAGCTTTATAAACTCACACTTAGCTTGTGTAACCTTAAAAAAACAAAAACCAAAACCTATGAAGTATACTCTTTAATACCACCATTCTTTAAATGAAATAATACTAATGCTAAGTGATAATAACAATAAAAATGTCAAATGCTTATGTAGTGCTTACTACATGCCAGGCATTATTCTAACTCATTTAAACCTCTTAACAACCTTATGAGGCAGGTACTATTATTAGCCCCACTTTACAGATGAGGAAATTGCAGGTGAAGTAATATATCCCAGGTGACCTAGCCAGGAAGAGGCTGGGCTGGCTTTTGAACCCTCCTCTGTCTCATTCTAGAGTCTGGGCTCTTTACCACCATCTCCAAGCGCTGACCCCACAGCAATTACACCCATTAGACCCGGGTTCCTCCACAGGCAGATGATGAGGTCCCAATTCCTTCCACTACATTCTCCACCCTTCCCCCTCCTCCCTTCATCCCTGCCACAGAACCTCACCATACAGATACTGGATGCCCTTCACGTCGTCCTCATGCAGGGGTTCCTTCTCGGTGTAGCTGTACATGGGGTACATGAGAGCTTCTGGCACGGACGAGTGATCCAAGCCCAGTGCGTGGCCGAACTCGTGCGCAGCCACGAGGAACAGGCTGTAACCTGGAGGGAAAAGAAAGCCTGAGACGTGAGCCCTGGGCCGCGCTCCCAGCCCCTGCCGTCAGCATCACCACACTCCCCACTACCCGCAGCCTTCGAACCTTGGAACCCTGCCCACCTTGGTCTGGGCAGAAACCCCACTTCTTGTCGTTGTCGAAATTCGATGTGGTGGCGCACCAGAGGTGCCCGTCGTCGCGGCCCTCCCTGGTACAGGTCGAGTACTCCTTGCCCAGGAAGACGAAGGGGAAGACGCACGGCTCCCCGGCCGAGTTGCCCCCGGTCACCGTAGAGTCCACTGAAGAGACCCAGGGCCTTGGGTGAGCCAGGTGAGTGGGTCCAATAGGGAGCCAGGGGCGGGTCAAACAAGGAGCTAGAGAATCTTGGCACCATTTTTAAAGCCTAGGGGGCGATGTGGGGCACAGCTGAGCCCAGGTTAGGCCTGGAGAGGGGAGACCAAGGGAGAGGCAGCAGGCTGGGCTAAAAGGCCAAGCCACATGAATGGAGTGGTGGCAACTGGAAGTCGGGGGGGAAGGGGGGGACAGAGTTCCGGTCCAGAGGACCAACGACAAGTGGAGAGACAAACTGATGGGTGGAGGAGACCCATCAGTTTCGAGGGTTAATGCTGAATCTGTCAGGCGGGGCAGAGGTACCTCGGGTCGGGCAGAAGCCATAAAGCTTGTCCTGGTCGTAGTTGGCTGTGGTGGCGCACCAGCGGAAGCCGTCTGAGCGACCAGCGGTGGTGCAGGAGGAGTAGGAGCGGCCCTCGAATGTGAAAGGAAACACGCAGGGCTTGCCCTCCGAATTGCCGTGTTCGGTGTAGAGTCCTGGGGAGGCCCACACATCACCCTGAGTTTACTGACCCACAGGCCACCTGTGTTCTGCATCCCTCCTCTCCTCATTTCACAGCTGAGAAAACTGGACCCAAAGAACAGAAGGGTGACCTGCAGACCACACAGCATTAGAGGCCGAGCTGGGATTACAACCCAGGTTTCTGGACTCCGAGGATGGTGGGCGCCCCACCCTCTCCGCGACCCGGAACTCACTCTCGCTGGGGCAGAAGCCGAACTGACGGTCAGTGTCAAAGTCGGCAGTGGTGCTACACCAGGGCAAGTCGTCGGAGCGGCCGTCCGTGGTGCAGGCGGAGTAGGATTGGCCTTCGAAGGTGAAAGGAAAGTGGCAGGGAGCGCCATCCGCATTTCCAAAGAAGGTCCGAACCACTGCAGGGGGGGAGGGACCCGGGTCAGGGCGGCTTGTGATGGATGTGAATGGGGAAAGGGAATGGGGCCGCGGTGGCTCAGGATCTCACCGATGCCCTTGCCCAGAGACCACAACTCTTCATCGTCGAAGTGGGCGTCTCCCTGAATGCCCTGGCCAGGAGGAAAGGCGTGTGCCAGGAGCCCGTGCTTCCCGTCGAAGGGGTATCCATCTCCGTGCTCTGAAGAAGCAGATGGGAAGAAGAGAGCCGTCTGGGTACAGATGTGCAGATTGTGCGATACCCCAGGGGTGCTGGACTGAATGGGGGGTGAAAGCCCACCCACGAGCTGCTACCCAAACCTTGCGACCCCGCGCTGTGCACTGTCGCGAAGGAAGAAGCGCCATAAGGGGGAGTGGCCGCCAAGGCTTTGGGCACAGACAAGAGAAAGCTGGGCCCAGGGCTCCCTCTACTCTCTGTGGTCCTCCCTCTCCTGTCCCCGGTCAAGGCCCTCTTGGCTTTTCCCTTCTCGCTTCCTCACCCCTAACCCCAAACTGGATGACGATGTCGGCTTCCAGCCCGTACACGCGAGTGAAGGTGAGCGGCGTCACCGCGCTCCAGACCGCGAAGGCACGGGCGAAGGCGTCATCGATCACGTCCCGCGGCAAATCTTCCGAGTAGTTTTGGATCCTGTAGGAGAAAGGCAGGAGGACAGAGACCAGCCAGAAGTAAGAGGCGGGAGCCGGGGTAGCAGCAACCACCATGTGTAAGCGACTTCAGCTCCAGGTTTTCATCAATAAAGCACTGCAGCTGCATTTTCCCTTGGACACTCCAAATGGCCATGGCAGGAGGACTCAGATCGGGAGGCCCATTCCCCCCAAAAGAAATGGAGGCTCAGAGGTGGGGCCACTTGCCCCAGGCTGCACGTGAAACTCAGGCATGGATCTGAGACAGGACGTGTTCATCTGCTGCCGGTGTGCACACAGAGACCCACCTCCCCTCCCCACTCCATTCCCTCCCGCTCCAGCGGGACCCGCCGCGCACCAGTACGTGATGTTTTGGTGCTGCCACTTGAGGTCGCCCTCAAAGGTCAGGAATTTGCCCAGGTCTGGGACGCCACAGCGCGGGGCACGCATAGCCTCCAGGGTGGTGCTGTCCAGCTCACCAGTCTCCGGCAGAGACAGGCGCTTCTGGAGAAGCCTCAGCGTCGAACTCAGGGACTGCTTGTCGCTGCTCAACTCGGCGACTGGAGTGTAGCCATAGCGGAACAGATACTCCTATGAATGGAGGGGCAAAGACATCTAAAGCACTGACTCCCTTTCCCTGCCCTGCTGGGCCAGAACTCCATCCCCCCAGGAGCTCAGGGACTAGCAACAAGGCATTGATTGTACCCAGGACTTGCTCCCTGGACGTCAGTACTTTTGCTTGGGTGCAAGCATCTCCCCTCCCTGTAGACATTCTTAGCTCCCTCCCAGTCCTGGATGCTCCTGGCCATTCCTACCTCAGGGGCCCCTAGGGTTTACCCCTATTCACTCCCAGCCCATGCACACTCCAGAACCTTCCAGTGTTCCCCCACACCATTTCCCATTGCCCACCTAGGAAACTATCATTAACCCATTCTTGGCCATCCATGCCCAGAGCCTCCACAGGACACCCATCCCCTAGTGCCTGATCCTAGACACCTCTATTCTCTAAACATACTCATTACCCCCAGTGTGGCCCAAAGTATCTCCTGAGGCCCCATGCCCTCCCTGGGATTCCAACTCTAGACTGAGGTGTTCACTTACATCTGCCAGCTGCTTGTTGGTGAGAGTCGTTCGCAGGTCTCCTGGGAAAACCACAGTGGTGGGCTGGCGTGGTCTGGGGGCGGCAGAGCAACAGCCCAGCACCAGGAGCACCAGGACCAGGGACCGCCAGGGACTCATGGTGAGGGTAGCAGTGTCTGGCTGCAGCTGCCCTTTGTGGGGGCTTTAAGGAGGCACTGTTATCTGCATCAGTGACCCCGCCCCTAGCCGCCAGGCTAGGCAGGGGCTGACTCAGGGGATGGTGTGTGTGTGTGTGGGGGCAGCCCCAGCATGGTAAGACAAGGAAAGGGCTTACACCACCTCCTCCTCTCCCTGCTGCCCACAGTCCCCATTGCTGAGTCAGGCAGGACCCCACAGAGACCCACAGGAAACCGCAGGCCCATACGGGAAGGTTGGATTTTGCAAACTGCACAGCATGTGAGAACTTTATGAGAGGGTGGGAGACAAAACTGGAGGACTCCCTGAGCCCTTCATCTGAAGACCCCAGTGGTCAGCTTAAGGAAAGGGGATGGAAGATTCTCTCAGGTCTTTTTCTGAACCTAGTGACACCCCCCCTTCCTGGTCAGACTCCCTCTGTGGGTCCCTCTCCACATTCTCAGGTTCTTCCCACTTTTCTCCTCCCTGGACGCCTCCCTTGACTCAGCTTCCTCTCCCTGGCTCCACCCGGCCCAAAATGAGTGGGCTCCGCTAGGCAGGATTGGGGAATTCCACCTGGGCAACCCCCGACGTTCAGGGGCTGACTCCCTGGGGTAGTGGAGGGGGGTTCGTGGCCCTGGCAGCCAGCACACATGGCTTTCCTCTCCTTCTTCAGTGCCTTGGGCATATGTCCTCACCACTCTGAATCTGTTTCCTTGGCTGTAAAAAAGGGCTCTTTGGCCCTGGCCGGTTTGGCTCAGCGGTTAGAGCGTCGGCCTGCGGTCCTGAGAGACCCGGGTTCGGTTCCCGCTAAGGGCATGTACCTCGGTTGCAGTTTGTCCCCGGCCCTGGTCGGTCGTGCGGGTGGCAGCCACTCGATGTGTCCCTTTCACATCGATGTTTCTCTCTCTCTCTCTGTTCCTCTCTCTCCCTCCTGCTCTACCTGAACAAAAAACAAAAAAAATGTCCTCGGGTGAGGATTAAAAAAAAAAAAAAAAAAAAGGGCTCTTTGTCCCTAAATTGATGTGAGGAGGTGCCCTGGCTGGTTTGGCTCGGCGGTTGGAGCCTCGGCCTGTGGACCAGAGAGTCCCAGGTTCGGTTCCTGTAGGGGCATGTACAAAAAAAATAAAATAAAAAATAAATTGATGTGAGGATCAAATGCATAAAACACTTAAGATGGTGTATGTTGCAAGTCCTCAGTGGGCCGGCCATGGTTGCTTTTAATTATCTGGGCCAAGATCATGATTCCAACTTGGAATCAGGAGACTGGGGTCTTGGTCTCTAATCTGCTGTGTGACCTGGAGTAAATGCCTTCCCCTCTCTGGGCTTTGAAATCTTCAACTGTAATATGGGGTGGGGGGGATATCTCCAGGAGCCCTTTCAGGTCTCTGCTTCACCCACACAAGCTCCAGCCCCAATGATCACCACCTATGCTAATGAACCAGCAGCCTCCTTCCCGCCCTTCTTCCCAGCCAACCAGGATCCACATTTACCTTCTTGAAGGCGTTATTTGAGAAGGACAACAATAAAAATTCAACAAGCTGTATTTATAGGGCTTACTCTGTGCCAGGCACTTCATGTGCTTATCTAATAAATGAGTCTATGAGATGGAGACAATTAGCTTCCCTTATGGAAAGTGGAAACTTTAGAGTTCACTAATGAATGAGTCACACAGTCCTGGTTTTTAGTCTCAGCTCTGCCATTCCCCAGCTATGTGACCTTGGGCAAGTCACTTCACCTGTGAGCCATAATAATAATGCATTTTTTGAGATTTACTGTGGAATACTGGGATAACTTCCCTATAAACATTTCATCTCATCCTCGCCACCATCTGGGAGGCAGTTTCAATGAGTATCCCTCCCATTTCCAGGGGAGGGAACTGAAGCTCAGAACAGTTAAGGAACTCGCCTTAATCACCCAGTGAATTAATACACAAAACCAGAATTCAAGCCTAAGGCTCCTAGTTTCTGAAGTGTTTTATGTTTATGGCCATTTACAGGGAACAGAGATAACTAGGGGTTAGAGAGGAGTGGGGGGAGATTTAAACCTGGACCCTTCTCCCCTCATCCCCTGAACTCACTAAAGATCAGAGAGGAAGCTTGGACCTTTGGGGAATCAGAGGCTAGGACAAGGGACCCCAGGGGACTATAATCCAGGCTTGAGAGTATGGGGTCAGAGCAATATGATTTTAGAAATGGAAACAAAGAAACTCATTAATCCAGAGGGTCTTCATCTGGAGGCTAACATGGGCTTTAGGAGAATCTATGAACCACCCCCAACTTGCCATGAATTGTACAAAATATGTCATATCTGAGTACATATGTCACATTTCTCAAATTTAGCACAATTGACCTTTGGGCCAAATAATTATTTGTGGTGGGGCCGTCCCATCTATTATTGTAGGATGATTGGTAGTATCTCCAGCCCCCACCTACTAGATCCAGTGGCACCTCCCCCTGCCAGTTGTGACAACCAGAAATGTTGCCAAACATTGCCAAATATCCCCTGGGTGGGTAAGAGGGACAAAGTCACCCCCACTGGTATATGCTGATTTTCCTATGTAAAGGGTCCAAAACTTTCATACTATACTCTAACCACTGATGATGATCCTCAAACTTTTAAAGACCACTTTCTCAACAAATATTGGTTGACCTTTTTACTGGCTAGACATTATGTTAAGAATTGGGAATACGGTAGTGACCAAGACAGTTGTCCTATGCTCATGGAGCTGAGAGTCCAGTAGGAAGAAATCAAATGAGTAATTTATTACCAGGAAGACAAACATCACAAGAGGGAGGCATACTTATCTACTCCAACTGCCCCCATCATGCAGATGAGAAAACTGAGGCAGGCCCAGAGTAGAGAATCTGCCTCCCAGGTCACAGAGCAAGCCAGGACTGTAGCTACGAGCCTGCACTCCAGAGCCAAGCTGCTTACGTTCAGAGCTCAGCGCTGGCATGGATCTGCTGTGTGATCTGTGTAGTAGCCATAACCGGCCAGTGCCTCAGTTTCCCCATCTGTAAGATGAGGGTAATAATAGTGCTTACCTCATGGGGTATAAGGGTCAAGTGAAATAATAGATATAAAGTGCCTGGTAATAAGTGCTTGGGCTACTCTAATTATGATTGCCTCTGGACCTGCTGGCTGTTTTTACCAATTGGGGAGCAGGAAAAGAACACTCCACCAGGAACCTCGGAACTTGATTCCTGGAGTCAGCCCAACAGGGAGCCTCCTTTCCTCACTCCCTCTCAACTTCCTCCTTTACCCCTAGTTCTCCAACCCCCATCAAGGGGAACTTGGGGAGAGCTTGGCTTTCAACACAGCAATAGCAGGAAGTGGTCTGGTTACCACATCCCCTTCCCCATTTCCTCAGTCCCTTCTTCCAATGCCACAGTTTAGCCAAGGACCTGGGAGAGGAGGCACGAAGCAGGATACACCCCCAGGTGGGTACTCTCTAAGCCTGACCAGAGTCATAGCTTGGCCTCTAAGCCCCTCACCCAGGTGGAGGCCCCATCAGGATGAGGAGGGGGCTGATCCTGGTGCCCTGAGTCACCAGCTGGATGACACAGCCCTGCAGGCTGCTATTAGTAACTCCAGGCCCCCAGACCGGGGTCAGCCTCACGAGATGAGGAATCTCTCCCCCTATCCAGGATGGGGGAACTCCAAGTCTGTTTCTCCCAAACCTGCCAGAGAGGGGAGGGGCAGCCAGGCCTGAGAGGCCCTGGCAGGATGTTGAGAAGACACTTGTGTCTAGGATGAAGCAGAAAGGTGTGTATATTGCAAGACATTTCCTCCGGGGAGAGCATCACTCACATACCCACCCCCATCCACAAACACACCTGCCATCCGTAGCCCCGGGGCAATGGCAATTCCCAGGCTGACTCGCAGAGGCCCTAATAATAATACCGCCAAGCCTCCCACTTACCTGTACGGAGCTCCTTCAATGGGAAGCCATAGAACATAGACTTTGGAATTAGACCTCCTGGGTTCAAACTCCAGCTCTTATTCCTCCTGACTGTGTGACCTTAGACAAGGTACTTTGCCTCTCTGTGCCTCCATTTCTTTGTCTGTAAAATGAGGAGGGAACAGTCCTCACTCAAAGGGTTGTGGGGGGATTAAATGAGGTTATGCATTGCAAGTTTTTAGCAAATAGTAGGTACACAGAAAAAAAAGGAGCTATGATGATTCTGTTACTCCAGTGCTCTCACCTTTAAAAATCAGGACTCATGATTCCAGTTAACTTTATAAATTCAGATTCATAAACCACTTTTACTAGTGAGGAATTTGTGAGGCTCGAGGAGTTGCCGAAGTCCACACAGCTGTAAGGGGAAGACCTGGGATTCAACCCAGGCCTGATAGCAGCACCCTGCTCTTTCCACCACAGTCTGCAGGTGCCCCCAGCAACCTCAGTCTTTGATCATTCTAACAGTCAATGTCAATGCATGGATGCGGGGGTGGGGCGCAGTTGACAGTTTATCCAGCTCTGTCATGTACCTTATCACATCTGATTTGCACCAAATGGTGGACCTTCTTAACATACTTGAATCTGAACTTTTAGAACTCCTTGGCATTCATGGAAGGCAGAGATTGTAAACCATTTTCAAAGAGATGGACTCAAGGCCCAGAGAAGGGCTTCAGTTTGCTCACTGTCACACAGCTGGTGAGTGACAGAGCTCCTGCCAGGTCTTCTGACTCTGAATCCCGTGCTAATATCAGGTCACTGGATCTGGCAAGAAGGAAGTCAGTGGGGGAAGCAGCCTAGGGGAGCTGGGGGTTGCCCAGAAGTCAGGCTGGAGGGGGAGCCAGGAACCAACAAAGAGAACAGGTACGCCCTGGCCGGTTTGGCTCAGTGGTTGGAGTGTTGGCCTGCGGACCAGAGAGTCCCGGGTTCGGTTCCCACTAGGGGCATGTACCAAAAAAAAAAAAAAGAGAGAGAGAGAGAACAGGTATGGGGTATTTGGCTGGGTGGATAAAAGAGGGAAAATTAAAGATTAAGGTGGCTGGAAGGGCAGAGAGTAGTCAAGGGGAATTTCCTTTAAGGCAAGAGGTTCATGTCTACAAGAGGGGATGGTGCTTGGAGGGAAAGACATGCAAAGTGAAGGGGAAGAGGA